AGAACTGGTCGGTTTTCATGGGATTCGTGGACTAGAATCGAACACCGCATCAGAGGTGCTCCGGGGAGAGAGTCAGCCACCAATGACGGTGCCGAGTGGCACCGTCGATATCAGATTCAGATTGTTCCCTACGTAGCCCAGTACCACGGGGACCTCCAAAGTAGGGGCTGATGACATGCCACTAAGGCAAGCCAAATTAATTAGCGCCAATGTGTTCCATTGTTCGGGTGGGGGCTTGGAATTAGAGGCGCTTGGGCCTAAACCAAGGTTAGGTTTGGGATGAAAAAAAGAAAAAAGTCAAAAAAAAGAAAAGAAAACCGAAAAGAGGAAAGGAAAAGACAAAAGAAAAAAAAGAAAAAGAAAAAGAAAAAGAACAACAGGTGGCCAAGCACGGACACCGTTCAAAATTAAGAACGGGACAGTCAAAGTAAAATTGAACACCAATCACATTCCAATCGAGAAGAGTTAAATGTCGGTCGGATCAAGATACGAATAGTAACAATAAGACTGGCAGTTATAGAAAATACGAAAGCGACCACCTCGTCTGAAGATCCCTACATGGGCTGAAAACTTTCTCCGAAACCCAAGCGTTGTCTAGTTTCTTGTCTCGGACGGCGACCGCCATTTCGCATCCCCCAAAGTTGCTGGATTCAGCGTGGTACATTAGTTTAGGTGGATGGAGAGATCCAATTTCTAACGACGATTGCAGATACTACTTAATTTATGCTTTATACTCCGCAGGGTTATTAGTTGTATTATTAATTATCCGGGTTCGGTTTTATTAGCTGATGTGTTGGTGTGATGAAGGATGGCTGATTCTTGTCTTACTACTATTAATATAGTCATCCTTTCTTTGTCACCGTCAGACCATGGGATTAGATATGTAAATTCTCATCAAGGAGGTCAATATCAATCGCCGCCATGTCTTTCATGGATGAACCCGTCCTTTCGGTCTTTGCCGTGGCTTTGTACGACCGGCGTCAGTACCTAGTAGCAAGGGTGACCAAAAGTGGCGAGCCATGTTGTGCCATGGGAAGAGAGCTTGAGCTTACTGATCTTGATTATCGGCGGGGATTTAAGATTTCTCGATAGATGTTTGATTTTTAAAATTATGCTTGCTTTTTTTGTTTTGTAATTATTGTGATGATAATCCATACACCATGGCGAGTCAAACCGGTCGCCGCTCAAGGGAACATCATATTCACGAGAAGGAGGACGTACCTCGTATGCAAACGGAATGGGATATTCTTTGTTGGAAAGAGATCGGCAGACGGGGGGGGGGACGGAGTCGTGTCAGCAAGAAAAAGGGAAAAAGAGGGTTCCATCAGACTGGGTAGAGACAAGAGGTGGAGGAAGAGTAGGAATAATAATAATGACGGTAGTCGGACCAATGTAAGTTGGCTTTCCATGGCTGAAAAAGGATCCGTCCGCGAGGTCTCAAATCTACTTCTTCTCTTTTCTCGCAAGCTCCTTGGATTACTAGGGTGTAGTAAGTTAGCCTCTTGCCTGGTCGAAATCCCTGTTCGCGCTTAAACTTCGCTCCCGTCGATACGGAGATAGGAGGGAACACAAGTGCGAGAGGAAAAGAAGGAAAAAATGTAAAAAAGGAAAACTGAAAAAGTGGGGCCCTCCTCTCTTTTTCATTTTTCATGAATGATATTTTTTTTTTTTTTTTTTTTCGGCCTGGTGTTAGGCCCATCAGAGGAGATTTTGACCCCTGACCTTCTGGAATTTTTGTTCTTCTCTTTTTCTCTGTTTTTCTAGCCCCTGCGGTCAAGTGGGTCTACACATGTGTCCCGGTGGTCTTCCTCCTGTAATCTCCGGCCTCTGATTTGTAGGGCGGGTAGATGATGATCTCAATTGTCCGATTAGTCGTTGTCGATGATGTCGATGAATCTGCAATTCCCCGTGTGTTGGTGTGGCACAGTCGTTGTCAGTTGCACAGATGGGAAATCAAACCAGAAAGAAATATATTACTATGTATTAGTATGAAGAGGACGATAATCAAGATAAATTTCAAGACCAAAATGATTGAATTAGGAAAGATTTCAACCAAAACGTGTTTCCAAACGCATGATCCTCCCCGACCTGATGGGTTCGGGGAAGTAAGCTAAGTTGTTCTATCTCTGAATACCCGGGGAGTTGCTGCTTCGGGCAAGGGAGAAGGAGACCATGTCTAGTCGCTGACTAACTGGGGCCGGGGCTTCAGCATAGTACAGGTACCGAGTCGATCCTTTCAGTTCAGAGCGCGACCAGGAACAAGCGACTATTGACCGTCTCCTTTTCCGTCCACTTTGGTTCAGGCTTCTCCTAACGATGACGTCTAGTCGATTCTTCCAGGTGGTAGAAGCGTAGTTCGCCAAGTACCCTAAAGCACAGAGGGGGGTTACCTAGGTATGTATCCTGTAGAGTGATTCAATATCTCCAGCGTCAGCTTACCTGGAAGCCACTGCACTAGTGACTTGGTACGGGACGAAGAGAGGGCCCCTGGTTCTGGAAATGGTCACCAGTAACTGACAAGGAATCCTCCGTCCCTTGGTGTTGGGCTCGGCGGATGGAGACTCCATACGAAGTACATACCCGCCTACGTACAGAACTTCAGCTGCACAGTCCACTCCATTGTCTATCGGTCCCGGTGTGTGGTGCAGTTAGACTTGTCATAATACATTATTGGTGCCAATTACCCCGTACCGAAGGCGCCGGCCATTGGCCTGCCACAGGTCTGATACAGATCCTGTGCCTTAGCTTTCCTCCCCCCCACTCCGGGCGGTCTCGAGTTTTCTGAGCAGATTTTGTGTTGCCTTGACTTGGATGTTGTCATCTCACTTCCCTTAGCCGAGCTTCCCGTTGATTTTCTGTTCCCGCCCACTTTCTGTCCACACCGACGATGGTACGGAGTACTAGGGTTTATGGAGTGGCGATGTACCCAACTTTGCGAGAAATGTATGTACGCGGTCGATGGCTATGAAACATGTGCTCCACCCTGCACATTCAGAAGGCAGCGAGGGCTAGATTTGAGGCATTATTAACTTCATTCTCGTCGTCGTTATCAGGGCAAACCCAGTCGGTCAGGTGTCGTTACTGGAACCGGTAATCTTGAGGCAACTGAGGCGTTCCGAATGATATGCATGCATACGGAGTACAACCAGTCGTAGTAAGTAATTAGAAATGAATGATACTCATACTATTTCTTCCCTGTCCTATTTCATAATATATAGAAATATATAAATTCACCATCAGCGGCTCAAAAGGTGCTAGATTCCCTTGTCTGGTTTTAATTGATGGTCCCAGCTGAGTCATAGTCGCCTCATGACCAAGAGGGTATGAAAGGGGAGATTAATTACCCATTATTGAAGCGGTTGGATAGGAACAAGTAGGGTGGTACTGTACCTAAGAATAAAGGATGGCGGGATAAGCGCCCGGCAAGACCGAAGGATCGATCTATGACGAGGGAAACGAGAGAAACGGAAGATGGTCGCGTCCGTTGTGATCTCTCTCCTTGTCAAATCATGTCAAAGGACACGAGAATGGATGTATGGACTCGCAATATCGAGGAGTAAGACACTACCTTGCTGTACCGAAGCAACTTTCCCCGTCTCTGAAACCTTAAGGGTAAAAAAAAAAAACAGGTCAGGGCTGAAAGGATGCGAAAGGACGGACAAGGGCTCTGGAACAAGTCCACATTATTGTAACCCTTGCGTAACAGCGTTGTAACTTGTGACGCGTTGGAAACGGTGAACTTGTGGGGACAATCAACGGGTCGACTCGAAGGGAGGAACGCTGAGGAGTAAAAAGCCTAGGGAAGAGGGGGTCAAAAATGGGCAACGGAGTGCAATCGCAGGGGCTTTTCTTGACGATCGGGTCGGATCGTGGGTCAGAAAGTGTATGTATGTATGTATGTGCCATCAAAACCATGTCCAATACGGGTTCTATCGTACTCCGTAATACACCGCATTCTGTTATTGTCCTGGCCCCTCTCTTCTCTTCAGTTCTTGAGTAAGGGTAGGTGAGGTCCGGAGGTATGTCCACTTGGTATGCTCATCACCGGTTAGGTCGTCAATAGATGAATTATTTATTAGTCAAAAACGATGATCTGGTCAGTTGGTCTCGGTCTGGTCCTGGCTGCGCTCATACTATGAATGAGTCGACCACCGAAAGTATCCTAATGAAATGGGACTAGTCCTGAGTAGGATTTGAAAGAAGGTTTGCCAATGTAACTGATGACGGAGAGGAGACCAAGAAATCAGGCCCGGAGGAGGAGTTTACAAGGGTACATACCTTAGTATAGTATAGTCTTTGTCGGTGCGTGCATTCATACAGTAGTGTCAGTACGGAGTTAGTAGGTGAGCACACAATACTCGGTACGGGGGGAGGAGGCAAAGGGTTAATACTAAATAGGGTCAAGGAGTAGTATTGTACGGATACCATACGTAATCTCCCCGTTTTTAGCCCCAGACTTAGTCAGGTATGGAGCTCTCTCTCTCTCACTCACTGTACTGTACTGTGTACACGGGCCCTACTGAAGTTTGGGTTAGATTCGGCATGTCCCAGACCACTGCTTCTAGTTGTCCTTTTTTCTGGTTCCTTCGTTTTCCCTGCCGAGCTCCAGTTCCCTGCCTGGCCCGCCAATCACTTTGCATTGTAGACGATTCCCTTTTGGAGTCACCTTGCAAACTAAAACCCAAACCAAACTAAAACTCATTCATTTTATCGCCCATAATGGGTCTGATCATCCACCGTCAACATTATTCAATACTCTTGGTTCCCCACCACGACCACCATTCGTTCACTCCCAATAACCCAATACCATGGATCCCGAGGAGTCCAAAGTGTCTGGGTCACAGACGGATTGTCGTTCCAGGTCCCCATCTTTCCAAACGATGACCATGTGAGGGTACAAACCGAAAGATTTTAAATTAAAAAAAAAAAAAAAAAAAAAAAAAAAAAAAAAAAAAAAAAAAAAAAAAAAAAAAAAAAAAAAAAAAAAAAAAAAAAAAAAAAAAAAATCCATCCAAATTAAATTCCCTACAGCCACCACCGAGTCAAAGTGGAGCAAACAACCGTGTGGCATGGGCACATCTGAATCATCACTTCTCTTCCTTGCCTTCCATCCTGTCTGGAATACCCACTGGCTAAACCCCTTTGGATGGGTGTCAACGTTGTCGGGTGTCATGCCAAATTCCCAACATGCGTCCACTATCATCCTTTTCAGTAATGGGATCGTGGAACTGGGGCGGATGGTAGATCAAGCAATGCGTTCCACTTGTATTACTGATTTCCTTTTTGCCTTTTTCTTTTATTATTCGATTTTATTATTTTTCTTTTTCTTTTTTCGAATTTCCGTTTTTAATTTCCATCTTCCTGACCGAGGGATAATTAAGTGTTTGAACTATTTGGGTAAGAAGTTACTTGAACTACTACCTGCCCTTTAGTTCCCATACATATACATACATACATTCATCCTTCCCTCCATGGATCCTATGGATTGACTTCCCCGTACCTTACCTCAAAGCCTTGTGACCCTCACACCCCTGTGTCATCTTGAATGGAAAAGTCCCGATCTTTATTACAGATCCTTTGATCCTTTGCATATTGCAGTCCTGCAGTCACCCATGGGGCTTATCCGCACTTGATACTCCATACATATAAGCCTACCAACCCTTTCCATCACCGGTCTCCCTCTCATCCTTCCACTTCATACAAATATGTATGTTCACATCGACCATCTCAACCCTCACACCCAACACTGATTATCTCTCCATTAGCCTTCCTGTTCTTCCAACACACTGTGACTATCCATCTTCTACTTCTTTTCAATGGCCAATTACATCCAGCCCCAAGTTTCTCAACCAGGCTCGCACTGGATCCCGGCAGATCAACCATGTGTACCATCGTCCGGCTTCCATGACATGATGTATGCATTTCCCAGACCGAGGCATACGGGTCGAGTGATGAAGCCTCGGAGTGCAGGCAACAGTCCCTCCTCTGCTGGCAGGTGGAGGGCAGCGGTATCACATGGGTCGCCAATCTATCAACCAGTCCAAGCCCAGCCGTATCAGACTCAGGTCAACCCTGCTGTCCTGGCTTCCGCACTGAGAAGGAGGCGAGCAACAGCAACTCGCCCAATCAGCTGGCATCCAGCATCACTAGAAACTGCTGCCTATACATCCCCGCCATACTTTCAAACAACAGCCGCAGAGAACCTTGCGGTCATGGCTCCGTCTACTCAGCCCATGGGCCCAGCCCCGACAACACTCGCAGACGGAAGTATCTATGCTTCACCGGAGTTTTCGGCTCCCACGGAAGCTTTCGCCTTCACCGCCATGCCGGACCCAGCCTCGATGCAACAGTCGTCTTTCCTCGACATGAGCGGCTCCCAGATCGGCCCGGTCACGTGGGATAGCAATGCACCCAACATGACCACCATGGCTCAACCAATGTCCGATAGCTGGCCCTTCGACATGATGTCTATGAACAATAGTATCCCATCGGCAGACGTTGATGCCTCGGGATATGCAAGTGCACCGTCGTCGGGCTATTTGACTGGACCATCCACCCCCGACTTCCTTCCCATTCAGCATCCAGACAGTACCTCCAAGTCACTGCACGGCTCGACCTCCGATGAGCAAGCGGGCGATGAACTAGTTGGAATGGGCCTTTACAGTCACCCTGACCCTTTCCTGGATACCTCATTCCACGAGGTGTCTGGCAAGGGTCTCAAGCTGGAGGAGACCTTCACCCCCTCGTCAGACGATGAAGCGGATGACAGCAAAGATGCCGAGAGTGAAGAAGACAACCAAGAGACCACGGAACAAGCCAGCGCCTCCAGCTCTGCTTCAATCCAGAAACAGCCGGCCAACCCAACGGCCAACATGATGCACAAGTCATTCTTCTTTGACGATGACGACATCGAACAGCAGACCGTGTCTGCCCCCCAGCAGCTCTTCAATCTAGGAAGTCAGTCTTGCATGAATTATGGATACGGATGGATCTAACCGTCCTGATGACATTTGTTGAACTTTTTTTTTTTTTTCACTGTATAAATCTTTTCTATAACTTATTGCATAGCGTGGCGTTTTGGCTTTGTGGCGATTTCCATGTACGAAAGGATACCCAGCGGGTGCGGGCTTGATTAACTATCATCGAAACACATGTATTAGACATCATCAACTTAGTGTCGCAGCAAATGAGCGTCACATTAACATCCTCTCTTCACTCAGTCCACAGTATTCAACGTAAAGTAGACAATAGATTAGGGCACTCAGGCAGAACTCCGGACCGGAAAAACCAGAAACTCCGACCACAAAAAGTCCAAATACCCATGCTCATAATATCCCAAGACCCCAAATTTAAATACAAAACCAGCCTCATCTAATAGAGGCCGATAATATTAACCCTAAAAATGTCAAAAATAATATTCACACCATGGAAAGAACAGTCGGAATTACAATCGGTGCGGGATCACTTCTACCCTCCGCCGATGTTCGATGGCCCGGACATGCGGTCTAGAGCCTGCGCTACGGTATATATATGGTACAATCCGATACGATTAAAATGATGAGGTACTAACTCGTGTACAAAGGTTGCGGCTTGGAAGTTGAGGGGCAATTTGCCCCATCCTGTGGAGGCTACGGCTTTGCTAACGGATGCTATTTTGCATGACGATGCGAAGAAAAACTCGATATTCTCGATACGGGCGACGTATTCGGCCGCGTTTTGTCGGTGGGTTCTTCCTTTTTCCCCGAGAAAATTTTCCTATTCCTCAAAGTAATTTTTGAGGATGTAAAGGGGGTTGAGGTTCTAATTGAATATAGATTCGTAACGGGTCTCGTAGACTCCAAACTCCATGGCCAACGCAAGACTATGTTCCAACGTGCTATTGACCTAGGCTTGCCTGCCTCATTCGTTGAGTTGCGACATGAAGCAACTCATCGTGAACTGCCGTCGTTGACGGTCCTCCGGAATGCTGCCCAACGGTCTCTCGAATGGCTCTGGGATTACTACTGGGCCAAGATTGATCTGAACGCCGGCTTTGCACCAGACGGCGTCGACGATGACATCGAGCCTGTTAAAACTGCTGTCAGGGCTTGTCTGGCACAAGTGACGGGTGAGACGGGTGCGTCAGAACCGCCGCGGAAGAAGAGGAGAGTTCAAGTTTTGTCTGGTGTTGCGACGCAGTTGGTCTCGGTGTGTAAGAGCTCTGCGAACGGAGCTGCTGCTGTTTCGGGGGTTTTGGTGGAGGACGAGGTTTTGGTTTCTAGAGGGAGGAAGTATGTGAATTTCTTTCTTCAAGGAATTTATGTTGGGGTTTGTGTGCTGACTGTTCTTCTTTTACTAGGCTTGGAACATCTTTGGATGATGAGTTTTCCAGGTGGGATTATTTCTTGCAGGTCATCGTTGAGGGATGTCCTGCTTTCTTGACGGCGCTCGTGGAGGCCCTGGTCGATGTGCTGGCGTTTGCTAGATCGGCTACGAAGGAGGATGCTCATTGTGAAGGAGTTTTCATGTGGCTGGACCATATTCTATGCTCGTCGCAGTGGGAGTCGAAGAGGCGTTTACTCTCGTTTGCCTATGCTCTCTCTGCATGTGAGCAGAACTCGAATCACTGGACGGACATGCTCAAGGAGAGGATACAGGATGCGGATATCGACTTGTCTGGTAGTCCTGGGGGTCGAGAGCGATCTGGAAAGGATGTGAATGCACCCCAAAGCTTACACACAGGGACAAGTCATGATTTGGATAGCTTGAAGGACATGGGATGGGAGGTTGTAGATACATGGGATAGTCGACCGTTGGGTATAGTCTAGCTGGGGATATGACTACGACTCAATTGTTACACCTCAAAATTAATGTACATTTGATTGATAAGTCTTTCTCAGTAGGTCTGCTTGCAGCTAGCTACCATCAAATACCATGATCTACAGTGGAGCCTGACGTACTCGAGATACTCCCTGATAAGCATGTTAGCTGTTGATGCTGCGGAGCTACGTCATAGCCGCAACCTACTCAATGCGGCGTGAACCTCTAAACGCCGCTCGAGCTGCGACCTCGTTGAAACCTCAGTGATAGCTCCCCAACATATCAACCGACAATTTAAAACTTGAGTTTGACTGTTGAATCATGGACCAAAGCCGGTTTTGGGATTATGCTGTACGGCTGTCGAGCTGCAGATTATATCGGACCTGTAGCTAACCTGTCTCAAAGGGCCATGGAGGGGCACGCGGAGATACGGACTCCGACAAATTAGAGGTATCTTTGACGGCACTTTGGTTCCCTGTTGCGCTATTAACATCGCGATGTTCTTTCACTAGGTTGTGCTTACCCCCGGTTGCAGTCACCGCCGCAAATCGTCCCTAGTCATGGCGAATGAGCCTGGTAAGCCTCGCCTGGACCGCGCAGACGATAAGACCGCCTGCTTCGTGCATTCCCTGATCGCAGGTGAATGGGTTTGTCCCCCGGGCCAGGCGAGGGATGCACGAATGGCGCCTGGTTTGCTGGACGACGCAACTGGCTTCGACGATACCGCCGTAGATATCGATGGCGTCACCGTCACCGATATGAACGACTGGACGCCAAGGCAATCCGAGACCATCGTGGAGTCCCGGCAGCTGACGAAAAAGCAGTTGTCTGATATGGCATGGAATGTGCGAAAACTGTCGAAAAAGCTGGATAGCATCAAGCTCAAGCTTTCTGTCAAAAATGTCTTTGTGGTGACTAAAGCGGGCGATGATAGCGTGATTGCTTTTACGAGAAAGGTCACGCAATGGTTATTATCTAAAGACCGTGATACGGAGTATAATGTCTACGTGGAGAGACGACTGGAGGCGGCTGCGGATTTCGGTGCTTCTCAATTGTTGGAGGATGAACCTTCTGCAGCTGATCGGCTCAAGTTCTGGGATGTTAAGTTTGTCTACGAGAATGCCTATCTTTTTGACTTCGTCATTACACTGGGTGGTGATGGGACGGTTCTTTATACGAGCTGGCTCTTCCAGCAAGTAGTACCGCCCGTCCTCTCTTTCTCATTGGGATCCTTGGGATTCCTAACCAAGTTCGATTTTAATGACTACCAGAAGACGCTCGGGTCCGCTTTCAAAGACGGTGTTGTCGTTAGCTTGAGGTTACGGTTTGAATGCACAATCATGAGGAGTAATAGGCGGGAAGATGGGCCATTAGCGCATTCGAAGAAACGAGATCTGGTAGAAGAGCTGATTGGCGAAGAAGTTGAAGGCACGTTAACACACAAGCCGGAAAAGGTTGTTCAAATTCTGAATGATGTCGTTCTCGACCGGGGGCCGAATCCCAGTATGTTTACAGACTCTTGCTACATTCTTTCTTAACATCCTGCTAACAACTGCTCAGCAATGTCCTCCATTGAGTTGTTCGGCGACGATGAGCATTTCACCACTCTGCTTGCAGACGGTATCTGTATTGCTACACCCACAGGCTCAACGGCTTACAACCTAGCCGCTGGAGGATCTTTATGCCACCCTGACAACCCCGTTATCCTGGTCACGGCGATCTGCGCACATACACTGTCTTTCCGACCGATCATACTGCCAGACACCATCGTTCTAAGAATGGGCGTACCCTATGATGCACGCACCACCTCGTGGGCAAGTTTCGATGGTCGAGAAAGGTGAGTGCACCCTGAGCCATTCCATAATGCGAGAAGCAGAATTAACATCGACGACAGAGTTGAATTGCACCCAGGTGACTACGTGACTGTTTCTGCCTCACGGTACCCGTTCGCAAATGTGTTACCGCAAGACCGGCGCAACAATGACTGGGTCCACAGTATTTCAAAGACATTAAACTGGAATTCAAGGCAAAAGCAAAAGGCTCTCAAGTCATGATGAAGAGTTTCGTTTCGTATCTTTTGCATGGAAAATAAATAATGATGATTATTCTGATAGGGTTTCTGTTTGTGGTGTCCGTTTTAAGGGGAGTATGCATATAGTCTATGGCTTGGGATCTTAATGTATGTACGTTCTTGTGGTGAAGCATATGAAAACGTGCAGTACCTCTTTTGAAAATAGATATAGGTATAATGTCCTAGATTTGAACTTCGACGAATTCTATGAATAATCGAAAACCAATGGAACATTCGATTTCGCATGCTGTGGAGGTGAGTATCAATTTTTCCTATTCTCTAGAAGCTTCGTATGGGTCGGCAGGTTTCCCGGGCAGCCTGAGGCCGACTATAAATAGCCCTCTCCTTCCGAAATTTTTTTCCTTCATACTCTCAACTTCACGACAACCACCACACTGGTTCTTAACTGGAGTCTAATGTGACTTTCAGTCCAACTTTGACTGGCTATAATTTATAGCGCTGTCATGCTATTCAACAATCTCCATGCACCTCAAATTGTTCGCACTAACTAGGTGAGTTCGATCAATTTTTTTCCTCTTGCGTATCTTCAATCGACCAAAGGCCTTTGGGCTCTTATGATGAAAATTTTTCCCACATTCGCAGTTTCCACGCTAGCCGTCGCTATGAACCTATTTCAGACGTGCTCTGTGCGCAATACTTCCTTGGATGTCTGACATTTTTGGCCATTGATATGATATGCTTGAGCAAGATTGTGTTGCGAGATAGACGCTAACGACATATGCTTAGTACAGGTAGCTTGATCAATTGATATGACAACCCCTTCCATAATTAACTGGAAGGGTCTTATCAGAAGGCCTTTGAGTGAAGGACTTGATTGTTTCCGACGTTACAGAAACTTCGTGCGGACAATATCTATCTAGACTATATGAAGAATTTGATTTGCTTTATGAAACATTTTTTGCATACCCCGTGTAGACGTCCTTTTTTGTAGTCGTAGAGGGTTCTGCTACTGCAGGGTTCGTAGTCCACGATATCTTGCGAGATTCGTCTGGTCCTTGAAACTGCGTTGCGTGTCTCTGTGGCCCGCCGTAAGAACCCCAAACCGCCCGATACGGAGGAACAACAATCGACCGACGAGTGTATATGGACCAGCTATTCCAGTGCATAGGCGGTTCTCTTTTGGTCCCCGCGGGTCCCTGTGGAATTGGAATCGGTTGATACTCTCTTTCATCGACAAGTTAAAGTCCATCACCATGAAGCAATATCCATAACTTGATCTAACCTCCGTCACTTACTACTGCAATCTATCAAACACCTACGAAGTCATTCCAACATGGCACAACCCACCCGACATTCTGCGATGATGTCTGTCAGTAACAGCGCCCCAAACCAGGCAAACGCCAGCGACAAGCAGCAGCCACCGCAGCAGATCCAGCACATCGCGAACACCGGGTTGCGCGTCCCGTCGAACCGGAAGACCATCTATGACAGACATCTGAATCGCAGTCGAACTGCGGAGCTCAGCCGGGCAAGTTTCGCCTTTCTCTTCGCGGAGATGGTCACATATGCCCAGAGGAGGGTAACGGGCATTCAGGATCTGGAGAAACGGTGGGTTCCATGGAAATGCTGCGTTGAGGCCCGTCACCTGTACTGAACAAGCGCCAGATTAAACGAACAAGGATACCCCCTGGGGCTCCGTCTTCTTGATCTACTCTACTACCGGACGATGTCTAGCTCAACCTCATCATCTTTATCTAGCTCGTCGACTTCTGCTGCTCCACCTAACCGACCCCTCCGTATCCTGCCCCTGCTCCATCTCATCCACGGCCCCCTCTGGCGACTCCTTTTCAATCGCCCGGCAGATGCTCTCGAGCACTCCGTGTCCCCCGACACACCCAACGAATATATGATTACGGATAATGACCCGCTTGTAAACACATACATCAGTGTACCCAAGGAAATGAGCATGCTTAATTGTGCGGCCTTCGTGGCGGGAGTCATTGAAGGCGTCTGTGACGGCTGTGGCTTCGAGGCCAAGGTTACGGCTCACAATCAACCAACGGAGATGTGGCCTGGTCGAACGATCTTCTTAGTACGCTTTGGGGAGAGCGTCATGGAGAGGGAGAAGGTATTGGAGAGGGCGGGCATCAAATAAACTCGCCGCAACACACGACCCGTATTAAGACAGTGATCCTTTGACTAATTGCTACTTCTGGCTGGCTACTGTGATCAATTTGGACGTCGGCTATGATAGAGGGTGGTAAGGTTATCAATCCGTCGACCATGCTTGGTGTTAGGGACTACTATTCGATGTTTGGAACGGGACGAGGACATACCCAATGCGGTCAACTACGGCTACGGCGTTTATGTTTATACAGAGGGAAGATTTTTGAGCAAGCTGGTGACATCGTGCTACACATATGTGCCTAAGCAGATGTCCAATTGATCATTTGTCCAAGTTGCGACCAGAAGGCAACCCGGTATAATTTATGTCACCTCTGATGAGGCCTCATTAAATACAGGAGGAAAGGCAAAAAAAAACATTGGTTTCTCAATGCAAAGCGTCATAACCCTAACCCGCCCATGCTTTCAAGATACCCACAACGCCAATAGGAATAAAATGATTCTATTTGCACTTTTCTGTTGCTTCTTTACGAAACACTTCTCATCCGTCTGCGCTTTTCGCGATCGTCATACGGAGAAGGGCTCCGTTTCCTGCGATTGCCTGAGTCAGGGCCGTGCCGATCTCTCGAACGGTCCCGGCTGGGACTCTCACGACGCTCCCTTCTGTCAGGTCGTTGGTCCCGTCTTGGTGAGTGTGATCTAGATCTCGACCTCCGTCTCTCCCGCACCGGACCAGCATTGGCTCCCGTAGGCCCCTTAGGTCGGTCATCTGGCCGATCTGGCAGGAATCGTTCATCTCTGACGCCGACCGGAGCGTCGCGACGACGTCTATTTTCAAAGCCATCACCGAAGCGTCCTGTGTCTTCCGTTCTCAGATCCCTGTATCGTGTCCGACCCTTCTTTCCAAGTTTTGTCATATCTCGAATCTGCATGTACTCAGGCAGAGTTTCGCGTGATACATCGTCCACAAATCTGGCACCCATGAGTTCTCTCCGGTCCAATCCTTCCTTCTCCAGGTCGTCCCGGAAGAAGGCGCCCTTGTGAAAGTAGCGCTGCATAAATCCTCCCTGTCCTCGAGTAGCTTCCTTCTCTTCTTGCTGCTTGGCAATAAATTCGCGGTCTTCGCGTTCACGCTCCTCCGCTGTCAAGTTCCGACGACGCTCAACCTCTTCGCGCTCCTTCTCGGCGGCTTCGATTGCCTCACGCTCTCGCTTGACGCGCTTGAGTTCGCGGAGTTTCCAGGCGGCATATTCAGCTTCGGGGTCTACTCCATCCTTATCGTCAAGACCACTTTCCTCAACTGCCTCTAATTCATCGTCATCCCATTGCTTGTTTGCAGCGCTCCGGGCGATTGCGTCCTTCTCCAATTGCTCGCGCACCAACATATCGGCCTTTTCTTGTCGTTGCGCTCTGCGGGCCTCTGCCTCCGCCGCTGAATCCGCAGCGGTTGTTTTAGGTGCTGCTCCCTGCCCATTCTGTGTCTGATTTGCTGCATTGTTGCGCTTGTCCTTTTTGATAAATGTAGGTCGTAGAAGAACCCTCCTCGGCGTCTCCTCCTCCGAACTACTCTCTTCCTCAGAGCTCTCCTCCTCTTCCTCTTCCTCCTCACTTTCCTCTTTGCTCACCGGTCCACTGGCTGCCTGAACAGGAGCTGCGGCCGCCGCACCTCCTTTGTCGCCAGCAACACGAGGGGCAGGTTTCGACTCTTCCTCCTCTTCCTCAGTAACGAAGCCCTCCTCGTCCTCATCCTCTTCTATTTGCACATTCTTCACTCCCTTAGTAATGCTCCCACCGGGGAAAGAAGTCGCCTTCGGCGCCTGCGCCCGCTGCCTGCGCTGTTGTTCCAACCTGCGTCGCTCCTGCTCCTTGATCTGTTCTTCTTCATCTTCCTCTTCCTCTTCCTCAGATGACGAGGGCTCTTCGGCAATCGGTTTTCCAGGTCGGTACCGGCTAGGTTTGAGGGGGTTTGCGGTCATACCGCGGTGTTGGGAAGGTAGCGGAGGTGGCATGGTGATTTGATCTGGAATCAGCGGGAAATCGACAATAGAAACAAATGAAATTTGATTAGGTTATATAGGTCGCCGCGATCATAGTACACTCGTCGGCGAGGGAAGGAACACGGAAATGGTGGACTTTTACTTCGAACCGCCGCGGAAGTATCTGATTGACGTACCGGGGCAAGCTTTCGGCGGAGATAAAATGGATCACGTGAGCGCGTGTTATTGTCAACGTCTCGATGGACGTACAAGCATTTCAGGCTTATATTGGCTATTTACAAGGAGAAATTAGTTACTCAATCATCATACCAATAAAGGCTACATTGTAAGCCTTGAAATCCTGCATAGAATTAGTACTAACACTGCTCCACCTCATCGAGAGCATATATGGATCGAAACTGCAATAATATACACAACAAGGACAGTATACTAACTTAACCCAGCGGAGAGACTTTGCCATGGTTAACCAGAAACTCGACTCTTCGATGTCGGTGCATTCAAGACCTAAGTCTCCCTACATTGCGTCTCTTTGAACAGGCACAGATCGTAAGTGTTCGCCTTGGCTAGGATAGAGCCGGCAACAATGGCTACTACCAAAATCTCGTATGTCTATTGGACAGGACTAGGGACGAGTGTAGCCGCAAATTCATCTTGCGAGCTGTGCGAACTTGAGGGGTGATTGTGCACACCTAATGCTAAGTCACGACTTTGGTTTAGACCAGAGTCTAGAAGGCCTTTGGTGTGCTATTCTTTGCTACCATTGCCGGGCACCATCTCGATTACATCACCGGTTGACTATTTCATGGAATGTTCCCTGTTCATTAATCTATCTCACCGGCCATAGGAGCGCAGCGAGAAAAGAGCTACTGACGTGGGGATGTAGACGTTTGATAGTCCATACAGTACTCTTGTTCCCCCATACTGTGAGGACAACTGCTGGTATCAATATGTCTTCGTGCGGAGTGAAGATTATCGGAACGCCCGTTCCGCGGATTCAAGTCGCAAAAGAGGATGACTTTGAACAATGGTACCAGGAGATCCTAGATAAGGGCGACATGGTGGATCAGGATCCGATCTCTAAGTGCTTGATTCTTAAGGTATGCTTGCCTCCACCATAGGCCCTGATGATCGGACCTTCTTTCCTGTCCTTTTGCCAGCCACACCTAGTCTAACTATCTCTATAAAGCCGGCTGCGTACTCGATCTGGGAGAGAGTGAAAGCTTGGATGAACTGCCAACTGGAGGCTATTGGAGTACAGAGCTATTACATCCCTCCTGTTGCCTTGGACATTGAAACCGAAGCGACCGCGGGGACCACCGGAAACAAGCCGTCTAAGGAATCTGTCATCCAAGCGTGCTGCAAGGCATGGATTAAACGCTACCAGGATTTGCCTTTCGGGTTGAATCACTGGGGCATGGGATGCCGAATGGGACAGGATTCGAGTTACTTCTCTGGTGCGACGGCCTTCTGTGGCAGGAAAGTCACACTGCTCATTCCACAGAGCAAGATGCCTCCCAACGGATTCGATTCATGCTTGATACTCATCATTGTATCAGGATCTCTTGTCTGTTCCGGTAGTCAATGGGCTAAAGAGTAAGAGAACGAGTCGTCCTAACCATCTCAGGACCAGTATACTAGTAGTTTTGGGATATATTCCTGGGATCAATCAGTGCGTTGAAGGTGCGACATGTCATGAATTAGGTCAAGGGCTCAGCAAGAAATATGATATTGCAGTCGAGGATCGGTCTACAGCTACAATGCCGCCACTGCATGTGTGGCAGAACACATGTTGTCTCTCTGCTCGAGCTATCGGGTTGATGATAGCAGTGCATGGAGATAACCGTGGCCTTATTATTCCTCCACGTGTAGCAAAGACCCAGGTCCTTCTTGTTGCAGAGCGGCTTCGTTCAGTTGAAGAACGCCAGAATCTTCATGCGCAGGATGAGAGTCTTGTCGCTCGTCTTTCCTCAGTTGGTGTCCGCGCCGTGACTGATAACCGGGATGGGGTCTCTCCTGCCTGGAAGTATAACGAGTGGATCATCAGCGGCGTCCCGCTATTCCTAGAAGTTGGTCCAAGTCAAACTGCCGGTCAGAGTGTGGTGGTGACCAGAAGGGATCTTCGGGGTACTCCAGATGCTAGATCTCAGATGGCTATCTCTGAGCTGTCTTCGAGAATCCCGGCATTGGTGGATACGATCCAAAAGGATATGTATGACAAGGCACATAGACACTTCCAATCGCGTACACTGGCAAATCACTATGTGGGATGATTTCGTCAGCGCCACTCAAGACAAGATAGTTTGTCTGGCGCCACACTGCTTGAACGAATGTTGTGGGAAGGACATAGAGAATGCCATCCAAGCCGATGGACAATCGCTGTCTACTCACATCGGCTGTTTGTGCATTCCGTTTCAGGCTCAAGGTGAAGGCATTGATACTAACACTACGAAGTGCATTAACCCCAACTGCGATCACAGGGCAGAGAAGTGGGCCATGTTCGGGTGTAAATATAGTTGATTCTTAGTATCGTCTTCAGTAGCTGCGAACAATAAGTGCACGTCACGTTTAAGTCTGTTATAAACACAGCCTCCCCTTTGTCCTTTGAAGGCATTCTACACAGTTGAAATACTTCGTCTTGCCCCATCCTCCAGGATAAATCACCGGGTCAAAATTAGCCCTAATCTAGTCCTGTTCCGGAAAAAGTGGTCTAAGGAGTGTTGAATCCCCTTATGACTAGAACAATTCGATACTATTCTCAAGCTCTCAACCTTCTCTCCTTCAAGAACTCATAGTCAGCCATCGTCTCCCGCACATACATCTCGATCATCTGGCCAGCATCCTCCCCAAACTCCTCTCTCCACTGCCTCGCACTTTCGTCAAGATCGATGGTCTCCCCAGAGGCCTTGGAGACGTCAATCCCAGTAGACCCGTCGATCGTCGACCGGAAAGCCATGATACCGGGACGTCTCTGCTGCTCGTCCTTGTCCCATTGGAACCGCAGTTGCGCAGGATCTAATCCCAGAGTTTCGCAGAACCGGATCACCACCGCCGGGTTAGTCATAATATCATCTGCATCCAAGACGAGAGGCCAGGCAATCTCTTCCTGAGCGGAGGAGGGGGTCTCTGTCCCATGGAAGTGCTGCACGTAGAAATTATAGAGCTCGCGACTCCAACGCAGCGTCATAATATTGCGACACACTCGCCTCCCCTGCTCCGAACGGAGATACAGGTCCCCGTCAGCCTTGCGCGCAGCACGGTAGTACGACGGGAAGGCCAGAGCCGGGTGGCGGATCAAGAAGGTCGGCCTCAATGTCCCGAGAAACGCGTCTGGGAGGAGGGTCTGGTTGTACGGCGATTGATCTTGCGATGCTAGTACCGCCTCGTTGTCGATGCTATCCGCCCCGAACACAAACTTGGTCTTTGCAACCGGATGGCTGATCATGTGCGTATGCTCTTTGAAGAATACCCCCTTGTTTTGCTGCTCCGCTTCATGGACGTACTGGGTCAGCGCTTGGAGACACTCCTGGATGCAGGCCGTTTCCTTCGCGCGCTGGTCTTCGCTAAGGTCCTTGATGTGGGCGCCGGCGCAGCCCATGTCGTAGCGGAGGAGATTGAGCCGTGCGAAGAAGTACCCGCCATCCTTGCAAGGGGTGAGGGCGGGCTGGTTGTCGAGGTTGAGGATTTTGACGAGGAGATTGGAGCCTGTTCGGGGGTAGGTGAGGAGACAGAAGCGTGGTGGAGGGGTGGCTCTTGTCATCTTGATATTCTGTACCTGTCGCAGGAATTGGGAAGGAAATGTGGTCCTAAGACTGGGGGTGGTTGTAGGGGGGAGGGTCATACTTATATAAGTATGGAGGAGGGTTCGAAGGGTTAAGGGCTATGTGGCTGCAGTGCTAGTCTGAGTTTACGTCGTCTGTCTAAAGGCCAATGGATAGATAGATCTACTGGGCGGAAATAGCGGTGTCTACTACATGCTCTAGTTTGATCGGCATAGTCTAGAGTGGACTATCTGTGAAAAATGAGTAGTCCTGGTTATATTGGTGGTTCTCTGCTGCTCATGGATTCTTGGTCAATTAATCTAAACTATGGTGAATTACTAAGGATATGGTATTTGAAGAGAGAAGTGAGACCATTTTGTCTCTATATGCTATAGAAATGCAGTGCCTATAAACCAACGCCGTGTAAACAGAAATAGACTTGGTCTCTCGCTCTAAGGCATTTCGCTCCCATCTCGACACAATACTCCATGTGCATTCTTCTGGAAATGACGCTTGGCCGTGAATCGCCTGGCTTTCAGAAACTCATAATCGGGCATTGCCTCGCGAACCAACCGTTCAAGTCTTTTTCCAGCTCGCTCGCCAAACTCGCTACACCACTTCTTGGCCTCCAGTTCAATATCAACATGTCCCGCGATCTTATCAGCGACAATGCCTCCCGATGCCAGCAACGTACTGAGGTATCGCTTGGTAAAAATGTCCATGTGAGACAGCTGCTGCTTACTCACCGGCGTCCACGAGCTGTTCAAGAGCGACGGGTCCATGCCCAGTAACTGACAGTACTCGCTCACCAGCCCCGGGTCCGTCATGATGTCGTCTGCGTCCAGCACAATCGGCCAGCCCGCACGGTTGCCCTGCCACACATACCAGTCGTAGAGATTCCGGGTCCAGTGCATCGTCATGCAATGCTCTCCAAGCTGCTCGTCCTCGCACGGGTTGCCCGTACCCTCGAGCTCCAGCAGCGCCCTATATAGCGACGGGAACGCCAACGCCGGATGACGAATGAGGAAGGTCGGCAGCCAGCTGCGCAGGAACTCGTCCGGAAGGATCGTCTGGTTCCGCGGGAAGCGAGCAGCCTTCTCTTCACACGACTCGGGCAGATACTGCACCATCCACGACGGCTTGGGGGTGCCGCGGAACGTGAACTTGCTGAGGGTTGTCGGGTCGATGAGGAAATGGACATGTTCTTTGATGAAGACCGAGCATTCGTCCGCGGACGCCTGGTCCAGGTACGCCTGGAACTCGGCGAAGCATTCCTGGTAGCTGCGTCGCACCTGCATGACCTCTTCTTCGGTCCAGTCTTCCACCTCTTTCTTGCGGAGCCCCAGCTCGGTCACCAGCTTGACGACCGGGAGGAAGACGTATCCGCCGCGGTCATTGCCGCCTCTCATGTGTGGCTGGTTGTCCAGCCCCAGCATGCGGACGAGCAGGTTGGACCCGGTGCGCGGGTACGTGATGAGGTAGAATCGACGCGGGGTGGATGGTTTCATAGTTCTTCTTCGCCGTATATAGTATATTGAATAGACCAATGGAGATGGATTTAGCTTGGATTCGCAATCGTGAAGGAATCTGACGCCATAGAGCTTATATCTACTGACATCTGGGGAGGCGGAAGTATAATCTGTTTGGGGATTGCAAGGGCCCACACACAAGGTAAACACAGGCATAGCTGAGAATGATGATGAACTCCGATTTGACGCTATTGCCTTGGCTGCTCATGCCGCATGCAAGGGGTAGGAGAGATGAGGCATCATCCCGATATACTTCCAATGCATTCGCAGTCTCGTATGACGGACGGATTCGGCCGAATCTACATTCTCCACAGGACTTACTTCCATAGACATCATATCACTAGAGATGCATCGGAGACGTCGCTTCTGTGGAATTTGCCATTGGAGCTCAACTATGTTGCGTGTTCTTTGTCTGGGGTACTGCATTCTTTTCCATTCTGATTCCTGACATACGTGGTGATCTTCCATACGTCGATCACCTATACGAGCTCACCCTTGGCCCCTAGGCCAGGATGGAATTCTAATGACTGAAGTATGGAGCTGCCATCACACCGCTCCCTACCCTTGCATCTCTTTGCCAGGGTACCTTGCCGTGGGTGATGAATCACTCTGATCTACAGGGTATAGACCGACTTTTCCAGCAGTTATGCCAAGTACGACAGCCTTGTCGATGTAACTCTGGGGATGGCATTTTTGGCAGAGATCAAAGCGTAAAAGCAGGAGACATTGCTAATGATAGTCATACTGCCAACAAAAGCATGAGATAGGCAGATATACATCATCAAGTCTCTGCCGTGGTATATAGCGCTCTTGAGAAGAGTAAGTCATGCTCAGCGAGTGCTCAATAATCGCTAAGCCAAGGAGCTTATGAAATAGATCAGTGTACGTACTTAATAAAGCTTTTCTTTTATGTAGAAGGTGTGTAAAACTCTGCAAAGGAAACCATCGCCTGGCCCGCTTTTTGAAGAGACATAAAGGGCAATTCAAGCCCCCACTGGGTGCCGTCAAGATAGCTACTTATTTCTCCCACTCTATTCACCCGACGTGCAAAGCAATCATTGCCACCCATAACCTAAACCCTGCAGATCGCTCCTCCGTAGCCGAAAATGGGAGTGGAAGTAAATGGGGAGAGAAGCCCCAGGCTGTGCGATGACACAGCTCTGCGACAGTATCTGACCAAGAGGGATGCCTTGATCCAAGAAGAGAGAAAGCAGCGACATGGTCCGTTTCATAGCATAAGTTCTCAATTCACGCTTAGTTAGACTGACGCTGACGAGCACGTATCAGACCACCATTTCCTACAGCGTTCTCCGTCCGCAACAGTCGTCCAAGCATGCAACATTGTCTCTGCCATCCGGGCGCGAGAGCTCACGCATGATTTGAGCATGAGCGCTGGCGCTCTGGTAAGGGATACTACCTCGCCAGGAGCGATGTTCAACCCGGCCAAGAGCCGAGTGCACTCCACCGATTTGTGGAAGATAGTGCGTCGGATGCCGAAGGGCTCACTTCTGCATGCGCATCTCGAGGCCCTGTTCGATGTGGACCACTTGGTCACGCAATGTTTAGCTACACCCGGGATGTACATTTGCGCTGAGAAGGAGATCATCTCCTCGGTGGATTTCGACAAGGAGCCCTTCTCCTTTCGGTACTGTTCCAAGGTCCCGGAAAGGAAAGGGTCAATCTGGACCGCAGACTACGAGTCTGGGTCATTGGTCCCAGTCACTTCTGCGGCGCACGCATTTCCACACGGTGGTGAAGCGGGATTCCGTTCCTGGGTGAAAAAGAGATGTACTATCGGGGCTGACCGTTCTGGCCACGTCCATGATGGAGCGGATGCTGTTTGGGATCGGTTCAAGCAGATCTTTCCCATATTAATCAGCATGGCGTTCTACGAGCCCATTTTCCGCCGCGCTTTACACCGACTGTTTCGAGAACTCGTTGATGATGGGATCCAATACGTGGAGCTCCGCATGGGGTCGGCGATTCCCTTCCAGCGCGAAGCACAAGATACCCCGGATGAGGACCATGGATATCTACTCGAGGTTGTGCGCGAGGAAATCTTGGCGTTTCAACAAACCAAGGTCGGTATGAACTTCTACGGTGCTCGCATCATCTACACAGCCCCCCGGATATCTTCAGAACAAGAGCTAGTGGCTCGGATGGAGCGCTGCATTCATGCAAAACAGCAGTTCCCCCAACTCATCTGCGGGTTCGACCTCGTGGGGCAAGAAGACCGGAGAGCCCTAGTCGACCTTGTTCCGGTCCTGCTGTGGTTTCGTCAACGGTGTAGCGAGGAAGGGGTTGAGATCCCGTTCTTTTTCCACGCGGGCGAATGTCTGGGCGATGGAGATGCAACCGACCATAACCTATTCGATGCAGTCCTGCTGGATTCACGCCGGATAGGCCACGGGCTTTCTCTCTACAAACATCCGCTGCTGATTGATATCGTGAAGGAGAAGAACATTCTGATCGAATGCTGCGTCGTCTCAAACGAGGTCCTGCGTCTCACCAGCTCGATCCAAACGCATCCTCTGCCAGCACTCCTGGCCAGGGGCGTCTCGGTTTGCCTATGCAACGATGATCCGGCGATCTTCGGGCAAGGGATGAGTGGACTGAGCGTCGAATTCTGGCAGACTTTGCAGGGGCTTGAGAACATGGGACTGGCGGGTTTGGCTGCCATGGCTCAGAATTCCATTCGATGGAGCTGCTACGAGGATCTCTCCTCCGAGGAGTGGCGGTCACATCTGCAGAACTCTGAAAGTGAGGGCAATGGGTTGAATGCAATGCGCCTTCGCCAATGGACGACGCAGTTCGAAGCGTTCTGTCAGTGGATTGTGGACGAGTTTGATCCGAATGGGACATTCAGCTGAGGGCGTGCGCGCCACCATGACTTCTTGGCTACAGAGGACCACAGTCCCAATAATCGATTTCTTCTTGTTTCCCCTGTTTTCTTTTACGTAAAAAAAACATACAGGATCTTCAAAGATCATTAGTGTAATCGCATTGGTCGATCAGCGGTGGCGCACTAGGTTTATGATACGTACAGAACTCTGGAGAAGATGCACATTCCACACTGCTTCGTGCATGACAAGTGAGCCTGATCTGCAAGGAGCGAGGCCAAAAAGTATCACAACCCCGGCCTTGACTGAGGAATTGACTAGTCACTCAAGGGGCCGTACTCACGGTCAGACTCCGTCGTGGCTGCGGATTCTTTGATTCGCATTTAACCTTGACTGTCACCGATGCTGAACAGCTACTATCTTGATCCAATTATCCATCATGGCCCCAATTATCGAACAGCTGCCTAACGAGCCGTTATTTGATCACCTACTGCACTCCTTCACGGCACATCCTCGCCATGTTCTGGTCCATGATCCCAAGAACGGCGTGGAAGCTGACTGCAGCCAGCTCCTGACTGATATACTTTATATGCGCCACCAAATCTTCCAAGCATTGCCCGCATCATCGTTTGACGCCCGGCGCAGAATTGACCCGGAAAACCCATACGTAATCGTTCTCGCTCCGGGCAATTATGACTACATCGTAGCCGCCTTATCGACACTGGCATGTGGAGGGGCGTTTGCCCCGATTTGTAAGAAAGCGTACCCTAACTATACAAGGAACATTCGGGCACGATCTAATTTGCATGATGGAAAACAGCCAGTACGTTGGCCCCGGAAGAGGCCTGCCACCTTCTGGAAACGACCAATGCATCATGCATGCTCGTTTCACCCCAATTCGAGGCCCAGGGCTCCCAAATCGCGCGCTACTGCGCCGCGCGCAACAAGTCCGTCGCCATCATCCCGATTGCAGTCAACAACGCCCCTGCGGCCCCAAGGCCTCTGGTCCGGATTGATCCAGCAATGACGCTGGACCCGACCAGCCCTGGCGTCCTCATATTCACGTCCGGAACCACCGGCCCCCCAAAGGGCGTGGTGCGCCCCAGGCGCGTTTGGTATAACAGCCCGCCGTGTTTTCCGAGCAACCATGTCGTGCTGGCTTTCCGGTCGCCACATTGGGTCGGTGTGGCCATGCGTCTGATATGGCAGGTCTTGGCTGGGACGCGCGCCGAGGTCATCGAAAATGATCCCCGTGTGATATGGGAGTCGTTCTGCACCGCCCGCGTGTCCCGTTTCAGCGCACCCCCGCGAACATATGCCCAGTTGATGAAGTACTTTCAGGAGCATATAGATTGCTTACCGGTCGAGCAGCGTAGTCGCTATGTGAAAGGCGTTCGGGCGCTACAGCGGGTCACTGTTTCTGGGGGAGTCACCTGGCCCACAGTCATGGGATTTTGGAGAGAGCTGCTGGGACGCCCATTGAGAAACATATACAGCTCTACTGAGGTGACTGCAGCCATTGAAACGACGGAAGATTCTGACCCGAACTTAGAGGTAAGTGAATCGTGCGAGGGACGGGACGCAATGCTTCCTGGCTGATCATATACTCCCTCAGCGGTGCATCGGAAAACCTTGCCGTGGCGTCCAAGTCAAACTGTCTGACGGCGACCATGGAGAAATCCTGCTCAAAAGCGCTACCATGTTTACACAGTGAGGCGGAAACAATTTTCTTCCCTTGTGTGTGGTAGTAACCAAAATGCTAATGGTTAATCTCAGTTATCTTGGCAATGAAGCAGCAACTCGAGCTGTCCTCGACGAGGAAGGATACTACAAATCCGGTGATTTTGGACATCTAGTCGGAGATCAGTATGTGATTGACGGCCGATCTTCCACTGACTGTACGGTATACCCTGTCAATCGTTGCTCGCGTCCACGTCATTTCTAACCAAGGCCAAATTACGGGCAGTCATCCCATATCGCGGGCTTCGGGTACCCGTCCATGAAGTCGAGGCCCGTCTCATCGAGCTCCCATACATTTCAGAAGCCTACGTCGTCCCAGCCAGCTTCCATTACATGCGCCAAGTTGCTGCCGTGATCCGCCCACAGACTTCAAAGGCCGCCGTTAGTCTATCCCAGATTCGAGTCGATCTGCAAGACAAGCTGCAGCGATACAAACTGCCGACGCTCTTGCGCACCTTGCACGACAATGAGCAAGTCCCGGAAACCACGACAGGCAAGCCCTTGCGAAGGAAGATGGAGGAGAAATATTTCTCGCTACCAGAAGAACCGCCATTGCCTGCGGGAGTCGAGTTTTGTGATACGGACGTTGGGACAGAAGAAACTCCCCGAAGGGCGTGGGATTGGGGGGGCATGATGTGAGACCCGAAATCATTTCAAGATAGTCTAGCGAAAGTATTCTAAGAAGATGACAAAATTACACGCGCTGTTTGCTTCGGTACCGCCAGCCTAACACCATGAATTACCTTTGTCTAGGTTGGTGTTGCTGGGAATTTGAAGCTTTCAGTCCTGCTCGGAAGTCTCCCTTTGCCTCCAACGCTGTCCTTTCCAATATAAAATCAATAAACTGGGCGAAGCAAGGAACCACAATCCAGCGATGAACGTCCCTACCCAGCCAATGCCAATGGCATCGATCAATGGCACCGCCGCCGCAACGGCTCCTGCTGCCGTGAGGTGCTTGACAGTATTCATAGCGGCCATTGTAGCAGCGGGACGATAGGCATTCAGGTCAATCGCCAGCGTGGTTATGCTGTTATTGACCCCGGTCGTTGCATTGCCAAAGAGAAACAACAAAACCAGGGGTCCGGCAAGATGTACGTCATAATACATGATCCAACCGTAGCCTATAACGCAGAGACATGAAAGATATAAAAATGGCAGCGCTAGCTCCAAGCGGACCTTCTCTAGCGGCATGCGCCGGAGCTGTCGTTGGGTTTGCTGGTTTGATCGAAGCTCCTCTCCGATTTTATGCGCATGGCGCTTGAAATTTCGATCAACGACGGTTCCAACATTCCAGCGGGTTAGAATGCCCCCTGCCGTGTAGGGAAGATAGCACAGGCCAATTTGCAAAGGGTTGAGGCTGTACTTCCTCTCCAGGAGAACGGGGAGACTGCTCAGTATCGCTGAGGTCCCGCAGAAGCAGAGTGCGCTGCAAAGAACAAGCATGCTAATATGGCGGTCTAGTAGGATTCCCAACGTGGCAAGAACCCCTGGCCGGCGTCTGGTGATCACCTGTGTCTCATAATCTGGGGCCTGCTGCTTGTCCTGGTGGAGAAACTGTAGGGCACACCGGTTCCAAGGCTGGGGAGACACACTGCCGTTGCCCACTATGGCTCGACAAGTCTCACGAAGGAATAGCATGATAGCGCAGAACATGACCCCTGAAGAGATACACAGGAACCAGAAGATACTTCGCCATCCAAGAAATTGCGTCAAAATGCCTCCAAGTGTTGGCCCGATCGCCGGGCCGATGGTCATCCCAAGAGAGGAATAGAACATGTATCTGCCTCGCTCTGCCCGGGGAACCACGTCGGCGACAGAGGCGTTTGAAATGAGCGATATACTACTGCTGCCCAAAGCTTGGAAACAACGTAAAACGAGCAGCGCTGCATAGCTGCTCTGAAGTGCTAATCCAATATTACTGCCGATAAAGACGAGTATAGAGGCCAGAAGGACTGGTCGCCGTCCATTTTGATCGGAGAAACTGGCAGTTAGCAAGGGCGCAACGCCTTGGACAATCTGCAGATGTTAGCTGCGACAATTGAACAGGGAGTTGAATAGATCTACCTTGAAAGAAGTGATTGTCAGACTGATTTTAGAGCTTGACACATGCATATCTCTTGCCAGCGGTCCAAGAGCAGGAAAATACATATTGGCCGCTACCGGGGCCAGGAACGTCACCATGGAGCAGGTGCATACTGTAAAGATCTTCTGTTTTTCCGATAAGATACTGTACAACGGCTGCGGCGGTTCATTAGGAACGCCGTCTGCAACATCTTCGCGCACATCCTCGATAGGAGTAACGGTTTTGAGCTCTGTAGAGTTCATGACGCCTTTGTCACAATAACATAGCACCCAGGTCCATTGTGGTGTTTTTTTTTTCTTCCTCTATAAACGTACTTTGGAATCGGCCTTACTTTGTATTCCTCAACCCTTGGGGTTGGATTATCACGACCCCTAGGCAAGGGGGATGCACTATGCAGTCCCACCCCTTAAGGTCGGAAATGATCTCCCATGGCCTTGCCTTTTTCCACCGAACCCACTCCAGGGGAATGTTACTCTACACCTCTGTGAGGAGGGCAGGTGTTGCAGCGCTTCCAACAATATTTTTGATGCATATTTCGAGCCCCTTTTGAGTGGGTACTAGCACATGTCGATCTGATTTCCAATGGAGCTTGAAACTTCTTTGGATATGTCCGGAGGGGTTAGGTATAAATAGAAATATCACCATGATTCTGTTCATACTTGAGGCAATAATTCAATAGACAGCTGTATCCGTACGTTTTGTGAACGCTCAAAGAGACTGAATATGTGAGCAAGGTATCGACCTATAAGATCAGCACAGATCGAATTCAGCTCTCCCAGTCGAAGATCATTTCCATACACATTGGATATTGCAGAAGGAACAGCAACAGCTCAAAGAGCAGTGTAGCAAGCAATGATGGATGTGTCAGTGAACTCTTAGATTCTTGACGAATGCCACCATGAATATAACTGCAGAGCCATTCTCGGACTGGGTAGCCGACAAAGCCACGCGTCAGATCCGAGGCTTTCGAGAGGCAGAGGTGCGTCTTCCGGCATTGATTTCCTTGTTCTTCGCTATCTCCCTTTTTCTTCCTCCTTTTCTCCCCAGACTGGGCATGTACTCGGATTGTTCGGACAATACAGCCGTCAGAAGAGGATGAAGAACCGACCCCGTACCCCCACGTGGTCTACTCGCTAGAGTGTGTCATGTATAGCAACGTTCCCGCCGCGTTACGATCTACCAAACATCATTCAAGATGCCGTTCTCGGTCTGTATCCATTGCACAGCTGGCCTCTGTACTGGTAGAATCAACACGCAGTTCGTCGGTAGACCCCGATTTGTTCGCTTTCGTTTGATATAAGGAGTCCGGAGGGTAGGTAGCTCAGTACTGTATACTTGAACCGCCACGATATAGAGTACATAATAGTTCCATTCGGGAGATTGAGATAATGACAAGGACGCGTTCTAGACTAGTCGAGGAGGAGCTTTGATCAGATGAAACGAATCAATTGGTTTGGTACTGGCCTAATCTGTATCCTTCATATCCTATCCTTAGGTGTCATCTTTATGCAGAATGAAGAAAGAGCTGTTCCTGATGGAAGTGCCATGGACAAGAACAACTTCTGGAGCAGAGCTTTCGCAAGATGAGGATAGATAGATTTGTTGGGTTAACCCATTCAACTAAAGGGGAGCCAAAGATGCGATAGAAGCTGACTGACTTGGAATGTTAGGTTAGTAGCACCAGCGTTCCTCTCAATTTACAACTAGCTATTCTCTGACTGGTGGCAGGCTCTACAAGCTGTGCAGAGGTAGGAATGAAACGGAAGGAGCGACAGGCCACAGGGTAGTTGCCGTACGCGCGCTTTTACTACACCTCCCCGAATTGCTTCAACAACATCGCACCAGAAGCCCTAGCAGTATATCTGAACATAACAATGTTGGTATGATAGCCTCAGGAGTTCAGGCCTAGAGTTGGGAGTTTGGTACCGAGTGGTGCACTGCCCCTGATGGTGATGCTATTATGACCGATATGTCTTGCGTTCTTGAGCTCTTCCCCCCAAAACTTCATCTCAGTCAAAGCCATCTCACTAAAAAGCCTCTCAGTAAAGAAAGCGCTTCTCATCATCCAAACCTCACACAAGAAACACCTCCACCTCACAAAAACCTCTACACCACAAACCAACGCTACAACAGTGAACACCTTCATTGTACTCGTCCTCTGCCTCCTGGCAGTCCCTATGCAGGGCTGCCAGGCCCTACCAATCGGTGCCAACAACGGGACACGCATCTCCTCTGCGGCCTTCGGGCTTACTTTTGGCCTAGGCTTCGGCCTAGGTATCCCTTTGGCGGTGTTGGGGGGGGATCCTCATACATCGCCTTGTCCGCCACATCTGATTCCGGTGCCAGAGACAAGAATAGCGTCGGAAGATGGCGATTGCCATACGGGCTCAGCAAGACAAAGAAGAAGCTGAGATCTCTCTTCCCGGGTTTTGGGGGTGGCTTGGGGATCACCTGGCCACCAGTCTGGTAAGATAACCCTATCGAAGATTAGGGCTGCGCGAACAGGCCTTCTAACAGACGTTTATAGTCATATCAAGGACAGCTCGCCGCCCCCAACCCCGGCGACAAGCCTATCGACAATCTTTGAGAAGGACGAATCCTTCTAGTCCCCTTCTGTGGGACACCGGTAGGTTGTCTGGGGAGGAGGTGGTGGAACCAGCCGGGCGTTGTACGGTGGGCGGGCTGGGGTCCCCTTCTGTGGGACAGTACACGCCTGGCTGGGGGAGGGATATGAATGACTGGGTTTTGTCTTTTTTTTTTTTTTTTTTTTTTTTTTTTTTTTTTTTTTTTTTTTTTTTTTTTTTTTTTTTTTTTTTTGTTTTTTTTTTTTTTTTTTTTTTTTTTTTTTTTTTTTTTTTTTTTTTTTGTACTTCTTTTTGTTGTCTATGTTTTTTACATGTCTTTGTACATGTTTTTGTTTTTGTTCGTTTTTTCTTTTGTCTTTTCTTGCTCATGTTTAGATAGATGATAGATCGAGATGCCCAGACTCTGCCAAGCAGAGCAGTTATTACTAGTAGATAATAGACAATAGACTCTTCTGAGGATTCAATCTGAGAAGCCCCAAGAACTTAACCCAACCACATAGAGCCAGACTTCACCGTAGGATGAAGTCAGGATAGTCTTAGGCAGAGGGAGCCATGCTATGAGTGTAGGTAATGAGCCTCGGATAACCTAGAGAAGCAGTCAGCAAGCAATTCAACAGAGGAAGCTGACCAGATATGAAGCATGTATAAACCTGTTGTGCCAGCCGTTACCAAAGCAGACAGAAGGACCACCTATCATGGCCCAGTCGTTAGCAATTGATATTACTCTTCCCTCATTATTTCAAGCTGTATATCACTTTCTAGATCTTAGCAGCCGCAACATCAAGGAGAGCGTACCGAAAGCCCTTAGGGCCCGCATAGGACTCATCGGGGAGTCCCCAGAAATATACCATTTACAGCAAAGAATCTGAAGTTATACTTGGTTGCTACTAACACAATGTATAATTAAGGGCTCGAGAGAAATATATTATCCAAGTGACTGTGCCAAAATTGTAGACTTAAGAGAATACTAGGGTTGATCTCAGTCACAACACTATTACCCCTTCATGAGAGTAGCTTGGTGTTTCCACGTGTTCAAAGATTTACCTGCCAAAGAAGATCTAATATCTCTACGATGAGGTGTGTAGTTAACTTATATCTCAATGTATGGACCATGGGCCAGCCCTAAATGAGCCAAAGGAAATCACATGACCACGCGTCACGCGCCGCGATGGATCTCCTCGCGATCATCAGAGGGAAATGATAGCCACACCGTTCTCTCCATCTAGTCACTCGATACAACCACAGTCCTCCCACAGCCAAACAATTCATTACTTCCACCCTCACCAAACCAACTAAAGAGGAAAGAAAAAGAATATAAAATGTCCCTCCAAACACCCCGCGTCCTCCCCGCCCACCTCCACGCCTTCCACCCCTCCAACGCCAACCCCCACGTCACAAACACCGTTCGTCTACTGGGCACAGTAACAGCGCTCCGCGGCGACACGGCGACCATCACGTGCGGAGATAACGGAGACGTGACGCTGATCTTGAAGCCCGATTCGCATCTGCAGATGGGGAAGCTGGTCGAGGTTGTTGGCAAGGTGACTGATGTTGAGGGGCAGGTGAGTCTTGCACACTCCAAGTTCTATTTCTTGTCGAATCCTACGGACTATAGCGCGGAGTGAGGTAGGATTTCATGCTGACAGATGGGCGTGAACAGGGCCTTGGGGTGAGGGTGTTGGGCAGCTTTGATTGGGGAAATCCCTCTGATTGCGGTATGTGGTTTTCACTTCTTTTCTTGCTGGTCTACGGTGTTGTTGTTAGGAGCTTTTGGTGTTGGGAAGAATTATGTGGGGAGCTCGGGCTGATGGTGGTTCTTGGACAGATTATAAAATCTATGAGAATGTGGTCAATGCGACACATCGGTTCAAGTCGCTTTTCTATGAGGCGGCTGAATAATTTATTCTTTGCTATGTTTCATGAATCTTGTTTCTCTTTGATACCAGGGTGCATATGTTTAAAACTTCTCTCTAGACATAGGGGGTGGCATCTGGCGATGCAATTAAATAGTGGCATTAGAAGGACGTCGAATGTTATTTATGCTATCATGCTTTTACCTTACGGCTATCTTTGTTCCGTTATTATAGTATAGTTAAGATTGTAGATTGCGATTTTTAGTGTAGAATCTTGCTACATCTACTTCGGGAATAGCCAAGGTTGCTTCTTTCTTTCATTGGTTTTTTATTTGTATTTGTTATTGTTATGGTTATGGTTATCGAGCTCAAGACGAGTCAACTCGTCCTCGATGTTGAGACATAGTGATAGTAAAGTGTCGGCGGCACACTCGGTGGCGCCTGATGCAGGCTCATCATGACCTGAACATGAAAAGGAGACTAAAAGACAGGACAATCCCAAGGCCAACGGTGTACCCTCGGTACAGGTTCCAATCCACCAACGCCGTCGCTTGAAAAACATATCAAGAAGGACACAGAAAGAAAAAAAAAAAGCCAAAGAAAGTCTCGGATGCTCATCACAATAAGAGGGTAACAATAAGATTATAGTCAAAGAAACTCATGAAACATTAGGCGTATTGTTTTGTGCTTGTTCTTTGTGGCTCGATCCCTCGGCCGGCTTAGCCTTGACATTCAGGGCCATGACGTCGGTATCGAGGGCATCGGAGCTGAAAAATCCAGAATCAAGGATGTTCGGATCAAGATTGAAGATATCAAAATGGTTTTCTTTATGAAGGTCTGGGTTGGACAGAAGCGCGTTGATGAGATTACCAGAATCATCATCTCCGTTGTTCTGCTCTTCCTCAGATCCATTGGGCGAGACGTAGTCCGACGGCAGCCAATCCGGCCAGTTGCTACTGGACGGACATTTGCTTGGATCAAAGCCGAACAAGGAGTCAGCGTTCGTGGCAGAAGCCGCATTAGAGAAGATATCCACAATCACTTTGTCCATCCCGTCGAATGCATCTGCACTGAAGGCATCGTCGGGAAGAGAGGGCAAGTCAGACATGTGAAGGCGCATCTGCTTGGGAGTTTTTCCCTGGCGTGGCGTTGACCCGGGGCTATTTTGAATGCGTTGGAGCCGTTGCGCGGTAAGCTTCGTGGGGGTTGTGTTGACGTCCTTCCGTACTTTAGACGACGAAGGTGAGTGACCCGGAAACGAAAGCGATTTTTCACCCAAAATGCCGGTGCGAGGATTGCGTCGTCGTGGTGTAGGGCTCGTAGGCAAGTCTAGCTCAAAGCTCGGGCTCTCAAAGAGACAGTCTAGGTCAGAAGCGCCATTCTCTTTGTCCTGAGGTTGCTTGGTAGACTCGTGAGAAGCTACGCGAGGGCTGCGGCGTGGGCTGTTTAGAACCGACTCGCCTAGAGCTTTCAGAGGGCCGCCCTCAGCCTGCGAATTAGGAAACAGAACTCTCCGTACGGATTTGGGAGTAAGACTATTCTCACCCGCCGTGGCAGAATTACGACTCTCGAGATTCCTAGCAGGACTAGACTGGATAGCTCGCCTGAGGGCCTCGATCGCATTGTCCTCTTGCCAACGACTTCCCGCAGTGTCCGATGACTTCCGGGGCTCCAAGCTGGTTGCGCGCCGCCGCTTGGACGGGGGGTCCTGGGAATCATCCTCGTTCTCGTTTTCATTATTGTTGCCATCACGAGGGGTTATGCCGTCTTCTGCGGCCGGCGACGAGGCATCGGATGCGACGGGCGAGGATCCGTCCACTTTGGTCAATTCGGCTCGGCTTCGGCTCCTGGTTGCAGCACCATTGGTTGAAAGGGGGCCACCTCCCCTGCGGTTCCTAGGGGGACGCTTCCTCTTGCCATTTGAAGACTTGTTCCATTTGTTCTCTGGTCGCATGGATTTAAACTTGTGAAGCCAAAGGCCGCATGCTTTTTTTCATGTCAGTATCAAGAGCGTCAATCAGTTAGCATATCTTTATCACTTACGGTTGCAAAGAAGGACTTGAGCAAAGTCATTGTCGGCATCAGCGAGACTCTTCTTGTAGATCTTGAATTTGGTAACTTTGTCTTGATCATCCCGCTCCAGAGACTGCCAAAACAACATGCCCGAATCCTTCTTCATCACATCGGCCTCTTGCTCATTCCCAATGATTTCCTTGGACCAGGCCCTACGCCACGTGGGTGTTTCGATCGCGCCACAGTTCTCACAGTAAGGGGGAACCTGCCCATCGCGAATGCACTTATCAAGGCGAGCCTGGACCTGTCTTAATCTTCTCGCACCCGCCCCACTGCGGACTTTACCGTCCTCTGCTACTCGTTGCGGGGCAGGGGTCTCTGCAGCGGTGAAATCACTCATTGGGCCAGCAGCCCAAGCGGTATTCTGGCCTTGAGGTTGCGATGGCATGACGGGGTCACTTGCGGGAATTGCGCTTATCAGCTGCTCTATTTCACTCTGGGACATAGGAGCAGGGGCCAGAGGCTTAGGAGCCTGTCTAAAGCTTGCGCGTGAAGACGGCCTCGAGCCTGCGGCGCTAGCTGGTGCACGGGGAGGTACAGGTGCTGATTCCTTCACAGGCTGTCCTTGTGACTCATCACCAACAAGGACATTCTCATTTCGGGTCTCCTGGCTCAGGCGAGCGCCAACAGGTGAACTGGCCTGCACTGCCAAGTGATTTCTCTGCTTCTCACCGGCAGTGTCATTCGTCACAGGCCTTGTGTAATCTTCCAACGGTGTGCCGATGTCGTCATCTAAAAGCTCTTCTACGCCACCACTCATGAATCCAGAATCAGGATCAGTGACCATAGGTGGGAGAACTGGGCTGGAGCGGGTTGGGAAGCTGCAGTCCAAGACAGGGGGCGAGGACGGCATGCTGAATGAAGGCTCGAAAAGACCTTGGTAGCGAGACTCCTCTGGGGAGTGCGTGTTGAATTCAATGGGAGTCTGGTCATCGCTGGCGTTATACGGAGACTCGTAGTGGTTGCTCTGGACGGAGGATTCACGCAGAAGGCTCGGCATGGTGCGTGCCCGACGAGGGAGGCCATTCATGTTGGAGATAGGGGTGGGTGGCCGAACCGGTTCTTCATGGGAGCTCTGAGCAGCAGCAATAGCCGGGTTGATTGGCGTGGGGCGGTGAATACGAACAGAAGCAGCTGTACTTGCAGCTACCCGCAGGGAGCTGGGCTGCCTCTCGATGTTGAAGTCCGACTTCCCGGGCCATTCCGCTCGATACAGCTTAGCACGTTTTCGAGGTTGGGACTCTCCAGATTCCTCGCAGCTACCGTAGCCCGATTGAATAGATCCCCTGCGACTGGCATACCGAGATTGAATAGCAAAGTCCGAGTCACGCATAGAAGCGCTAGAAGACGGACGAATAATATCACTCTGCGAGCGGTCCAAACGGGGTTGCTGTGACTGTTGCTGTATCGGCTGAGAAAGTTGCTCCTGCTGATATTGTGATCGTTGGCCCCCAGGGGTGGATACTCTGCTTCCAGCTGCCAAGGCGGACTGCGAAGGTGATACAGATCGATATGGCCCATGTGCAGAGACAGGTGGAATTTCCCTTGGCGTCGAGCTCTCGCTAAGTAATTGATGAAAACGCTCAATTCCGGAGTGGTCCAAGGGTGAATCCGTCCGTTCCGGTTGCTGGGTGATAGAGGGGGTCATCAAACCCGGGTTTTGGCGCAAGAAGTTGGTCCACGCTTGCGCATCGAATTCGTGAGGAATAACGGTGCTCAACTCCCGATACCTCCGCATGCTTTCCAGGTATTCACTCTGCATGACCGTGGGAACAGGTACCAAGCGCAACTTCACCTCCAGTGTCTCCTGAGCACCCTTCGAGAACAATCCCAGCACATTTTTGCAGACGCGACCAGTGACCATGGTTTCAGATTGATGGGCCGGGGCATTTGGCGTGGGAGAAGCCGAAGCAAGAACCCATGATAACATTCCCTGTCCAACCAAAGGCGTCTCATATTCTGAGTAATCGTAGGCATAAACGGTGTAATCTTGTCCCAGTTTCGCAACCAATTCGGGACTGCAATCAGACAAATAACAATGAGTATAATCTCAGTGACTGGAAGTGATTCAACTAACCTGGCGGAGACAATGGCTTGAATGCAAGTCTTCAGCTCGATAACCCCAATTTGTGTCTTCTCGTCCAGGGCAGCAGTCTGGACATCGAGAAGATGAGGCCACCGGGCCAGACAATTTGTCTTGTTGGCATCGTCGAATGTGTAAAGCACCTTCACTAATAAATTGGAGCCCAATGATTAGCATCCACGGTAGAATTGAGCTGGAAAGGGAAGCTCACGCCTCATAGGCCGGACGGAAATTCCGTCCTGAGATTCCATGCCACCAACTTGAGAGGAATAACCATAAGCAAGCTGGAGAAGATGTATCCAAATAAGAATATGTCAGAACGAGGGGAAAGTTTGTTGAAGAAGCGGACCGTGGGTTGAATCAGCTGGATAGGAATGTCGAAGCGTGACAAAGTTTTCAAAGGAAGGTTGAATAGGATAGAAGCAACGTAGCGTCCGATCTATGCCGCTTGCTTATCGACTCGTCAAGCCTATCTAATCGGAGGTTGCGTCGACCGGGAGAATGAACCGGTATGTAAAGAATCAGGATAGCGGGGTGGAATGATCTCTGGAATGCAGACGTGGGACTGAAGAAAGGGATGAAGGGACATGCGGTGAGAGTCCTTAAGAAGGAGAGAGGTGAGGAGATTCCAGGGATGTTCGGTTCTGACTTGGAAAGTGACCGCGAGTCGTGAAGTAGGGGCGAAGTAGTGAGAGGTTGGAGAAGGAAAAGAAACGACGCCTTGCATTTGAATGTCGAGAAGCTTGCAAGATCGCCGACATGAACCGTGTCGGACGCGACGTGACGGAGCCAATCGCGAACTGGGAAAAAAGCTCTGTCGCAAACACGGCAAACACGCGCGACACGTGATCCGCGACCCGCGCCAAGACGCCGGAAGAGTCCAAGACAGCGACAAAGCTGATAGTCCGATGGAAAGATAGTCAAGACGTCCTCCAGCAGACCACCACCACCTTTTATATCCCGCCAACATGTCGACCGACCCAAAGATCCAGTACGTTACCCCTCTTTTCCTGGAGATCATGTGTCATTGCATGCGTCATTGATCCCCTTCATCATGGCGTGATCTTTTTACTCTAACGCGATCGATCTGATGCTAACCATACCGTCTAATTCAACAGGGACCTGCTTAACAAGCCCAAGAGTGAGCTTACGTATGTTCTTCCCAACTTCTATCGGACCTATTGTCTATTGGATCTATCCACAGTCTCTAACATCCCCATCAAGTGAATACGAGGTCTCCCTCGTCGAGGAACATGAGCTCACAGCTGGCCCCCTCTCTCTCCTCCAAACCGCCACACGCACACACACCCAGGTCCTGATCGCCTGCCGTAGCAACCGTCGCCTGCTTGCTCGCGTGAAGGCGTTCGACCGCCACTGCAACATGGTGCTGGAGAACGTCAAGGAGATGTGGACAGAGAAGCCCAAGGGCGGTAAGGGCAAGGGTGTCAACAAGGATCGCTTCATCAGCAAGATGTATGTGCCCATGCGATTCCTCCCCGCTTGAGGTACTTTGATGAGGAACCCGACCTCCTGATCTAACACCTCGCTCTAGGTTCCTGCGTGGCGACTCGGTCATCCTCGTTCTGCTCAGTTGATCTCGGGAATCCATTCCCAACCACGTGACATGCGCGACATGTTTGGCTTTTCTCTATCCAGTTATTGGAGTCGACAAAGACGGTCTATTTCTTTGATATCGATACCCTGTCCTACGATTTCCGAAGTCTGCGATCCATAGTCGGAGATTCAATCACACGTACATCCTAAGCTCCCTTGGCGAGTAGAAAAGGGGATTCTATTTCTTCTCATGAGCTTTCTCTATGTCCGTTCTTCGTTGTTTTACTGTATCATGAAGGGACACATCTGGCGTTTTTCTGGTCCGTTTAGAAAAGTTAGAAAAGGAAAGAAAAGTCAGATAGTTGGATTCGAGGTTTTTCTCGAAGTTAATAGGGCCGGTCGAGTGTTCTCGATCGGTGAAAGTGGGCGTGGACAGTAGCTTTCTGGATGTATAAATATGAACGCTAATACAGCCATTTAGCTACAATGCAATGAAAGATCCCCGCTAGCAGAAGGAACATACTGTCGCATTTGGTATAGCTTGGCTTGAGTATTACGTACAAGTAGTTAAGATTCTTACAGGAATCAGAAATATCAATAATAAACTCATTGAATTTATACACTATAGGTAATTGTAACTGATTAGAAGCATGGATAAAACCGAGCAATGAACACTGCACAAAACAGAACGCCTGCAATTGTCATGATGTCATCGATTAAAATTAAAGTGTTTCATGAGATGCAATATGTACCGCGAGGTTCGAGGAATCATGCTTGCTTTGGAATGGCTTCGACAAGCCCGGTGAAGAATTCGCTAAGTCCGTAAGCACCGGGGTCAGGAACCTTACCCACCCACTCGTCTTCACCACCCACATAGACAGATCGTCCCAAGCTGGCCTTCATGCTCTTCGTGGCTTCAGTTCCCTCTTGGGCAGCCTGAGCAGCAGCATGGACATCCTTGGTGTCGCGTAGAGTGTCACAGAAGGGAACAAGGGCGTCGATCATAGTACGGTCACCAGGCTTGGCCGGTGTGTACTTTCCAAGGGCTCCAAGCGAGTATTTCAAGGCCTCACCCCAGACTTCAGCCGTGGCAGGAGTCGTCTTGCCCTTGTCTTGCTCCCGGAGGCCGTGCACAAGTGCGTTCAAGAAGATGGCGTAGATGGCACCGGAAGTACCATCCATAGTGTTCTCCACAATGGTAACGATGCGGTTGACGGTTTTAACCACGTCATCATCCAGGCTTGATAAGTTGTCCTCAAGGAGTGCGAGAACAGCCTCGGCACCACGTTTCAGGCCAACGCCACAGTCACCGTCTCCGACGATCGTATCGTAGCGAGTAACTGTTGGTTCGGCGTCAATGATGCGCCGGAGACCAGATCCCAAGACTTTTCTGATAGTAGCAGGGTCCACTATTGCATTTCGTTAGCATGCATCCAAGGGAATCGAATATAGAAGATTGGGCAAACTAAGCATACACTTAACATTACTGGGCTGTTCCTCGGCCAGCTTGGTCTTCTTGAGCTCTACAGGAGCATCGGTCCGACGGTCCCAGGTGGATGTTGGGATAGGGGCGGACCAACCGACTGCCTCGGCGGGGGCATCCAAAAGCTCAAGGAAAGATTTGCCAGCGCCCAATCCATTATCAGCGAGCTTCAACAGCGAAGCGCTGAAACCTAGTCCGTTGAGACTGGTGAGGAAAGTTCCTTGAATAACTCGTACGGGTTTGATGCTGTAGTCCCGCTCAAGCTGACGGTATACTTCATCGGTGATACCAGAGAGCTCCAGGCTGCTCACACCACCCAGGTTGTTAATCAGGAGCACAAACTCGTCGTCCGGTTCGCGTGTAATGAAAGCACGGTCAGGGTCGTTGTGGTCCAAGATTTGGAAAAGCATGGTCTTGACCAGCTCTGGCAAAGTGAATTTCATTCGATGGGATCCGGGTTCGTTGTGAATACCCATTCCAACTTCGACCTCCCCAACAGGAATAGTATCTTCTGAAGCAGGTCGGCCAGGAATGTGGACGTGCTCTAGAGAAGAGCCCACAGTTGCGAGCAGCGAGTTGGCCTGTTTAGCAACACGGTGGATTTCTTCGAGAGAAGCACTGGTTGTATGTCAGCATGAGGAACCTCTCTTTCACCAATGTACATAATAATCAACTAACCCTGTCTCAGCCAAGGCGCTGACGATTTTCAGAACGAGGATTCCGCCGCCAATGCCGCGACGGCCGACTTTTCCGCCCTTCTTCTTGCCGACGCCAGCGTCGTCATTGATAGCAAAAAATTCAGTCTTGATTCCGGCAGCGCGTGCCTTCTCGGCAGCCATACCGAAGTTGAGCACATCGCCGGTGTAGTTCATGGGAATGATGAACACACCTTGCTCATTGTCGACACAGTCGAGGGCAGCTTTGCGGATTTGTACGGCAGAGGGAGAGGCGAAGATCGTGCCAGCGACTGAAGCATCTAGGAATCCTTGGCCGACAAAGCCCGCGAAAGCCGGTTCGTGGCCGGAGCCACCGCCGGAAACGATCGCGACCTTCTTCTTTTTGAGCGAATCAGGGCGGCGGAAAATGATCTTGTTCTCAGGGTCGAAAGCAAGAGAAGGGTTTGTCAAAGTCAGCGAGTGGAGGGCGGTGACCACCAGATGGTTCGGGTCCGAGAAGAAGTGTTTGGCTGTGTTGCGTTAGTGCACCTGTCAATGCATATTTTCTGGGGTTTTAGTTTTGTTTGTGGAGAACATCGGGGTCGTTTCATGATGATCGTGGGTCTGATCGCGAGGAGGTTGTATAAGGCCCCCAACGAGAACAGCGAAACCAGAAGATGTGATAAATTCAAAACAGGCTGGCAACGTACTCTGTGCAGACATGATGTATGATGTGTGTAATTGCCTGATGAGGTGCAGCAAACAACTGGAAATCGAAGTACGACGTCGACAGCGGATTGGACGCTCGACTTCGGATGTGGAGAAAGACCGGAAGTCTTGGGGGGTCGGAGAGACTAGTTGAGGATTGTGCAAGAAAGAATCCACTCGTCTAGGAGGGTATTCGTCTGCTTATAAGCGTCTGCTCCTCGCTAAAATTGAAGCGAGATTTGGTCGGGTTTCTGGGCGAAATTCCTCCTGATCTAAGAGTCGGGGATAATTCGCTAGGTTTGCGCCGAGAACTTATCACGAGTATAGTACTGGCACAGAGGCTACAATCGCTCTATCGTCCGTGAGAGGCGGGGAAAAAGTGGAGAAGTTGCGTTCACTCGGGTCTAATACTATAGATCAGTCCGGGGGCTCTCATGCGTCGAAAAACCGGAGATCACAAGGGTAGACGGGCATGTCATTTGCCAGTGGTACTCACAGTATATTGGACAGGTGGAGAAAACCTAGTCAATAGGATTAGGATGAGGTAATCGTGAGTCTGGGAGTGATTCAAACAAGACGAATTGATTCGGTATGATGAGGTGAGAATCACCCGGAGGACGAGAGATGGAGAATAGAGGAGTGGAAGATAATCACAATGAGGGGAGACGGAGATTGAAGGGAAGCGTTGAAGTATACTTATACTGGGGAAAGACTGTACTCAAGTAGCAGTGGTCAACAAGTTGTAACCAGGCGAACCTGTTCACGATGTTGTCAAACCTGTTTGTTCTTTTTTTACCTTTTTTTTTTTCAGTTCACATGGACAATGATTGCAATGAGACCCATCAACCCACCCCCCGGATAGGCAATGGAAGAGTAGTTCACGATAGTACAACGTATTCGAGCGAGGCAGCTGTACCGAGGAGTACCTAATCGAGTAAGTACCTAAGAGGTCTAGCCCACTGCGAGGTATGTACGGAGTACTCCATACATTGGTACCTGCGGACTCGTAATATTACACCAATTATACATTGTTCTGAGGCCTTGTCCATACTAAGGTAATCAAATTTCCCGCCGCCGGCCGCGAAACCCCATGGGTCTGGAACCTTGGGCGACTTACAGGCGACTTTTGAACGAACGCTTCGGATTACCATCTGTGGCATTCCCGCCTCGACCCCTCGTATGGGATGGGTTTGAACTTTGGGGAAAGCAAAACGCTTGCTTATTTCCGCCTGATGGATGCGGCTACGGCTTCCTCCGCGGATAATTCCTTTATGGTCCAAAATTGAAATTCATAATTGCCAGGGATTACCCTGGAGGGCTGATCGAGTGGTGTCGCAAGTGTCGGTCCATATCACCTTCCGGGTGCATCCACTAACTACATACCAGGGTTACTATCAATTACAATACAACCAACATATGTCTGTACATACTCAGTAGAGTTGTCTAATAATTGGGATGATTGCTATACCTCGATCTATCAGCCCATCCTTACATAATTGGACAGATTTTATCCTGATGCACTTGACAAAATAAAACAGATGAATTAAAATAAAAATCTTTCAGCTCTCGTGATGTATACATACATATGTTATCTACCTCTCATCCCTTACTCCCGCTGTCGATGAGCGCGAGGAGCATCCCAACAGATTCCACTCCACGTATATCGGCATGCGTCCAGCAACCCAGTACGTATGCATTGTGGGATGCCTGAAGATCTACATAGGATGTAGCAGGCACATGCTAGTGGAATTATTCCTATTCTCTGCATGCCTATGATATGCTTACTGTATCAGTGTCAATTACGAGTCCCTTTCGCTATCAGATTGACAATTTGGGCAAAAAGAATGACTCAGGACTGGGTCAATTGAGGATTTAGTATCCTCAAAATATTTTCGACAACCTTATGCGATCCGAAAAAGGAAGCTGTACCAAAACAAAGAACTGATTCGTAGCGAGAATAATTTCTAGAACGAAGACGTAGTGCGACAAAAAGGGGGGAACGGCGCTAGAAACATCCCCAACATAAAAAGCGATCATGGGACCGACAAAAAAAAGCCTAGTTTCCCCGCTGTCAGATCTAATGGAAATCCACCAGCGTGGTTGAAGGGCTCTAATCATTACCACATCCGGAACTCCCAATGATAGGCGCGTACGTAGTCGCATATTGTTCAAGATGATCTCTCGTTCCGTGAAGTGTTCCATTGAGGATTCCTCCTGATCGCCCGTCCCTCAGGGTTCAGCTTGAGACAGGGAAGAGTTGCTGTGGATAAAACGAAAAAGTGCACTCATCCACGTGAACCCCCAAAAGAGCCCAGACCGTTTTTTATCCTTCCGTTTCATTTCAATACATCCGATACATAACATTTTACCATTTCCGGACCATCCCTTGGAATATATGCTTAATTTTTTTTTTTTTTTTTTTTTTTTTTTTTTTTTTTTTTTTTTTTTTTTTTTTTTTTTTTTTTTTTTGCATTTTTGCATTTTTGCATTTTCGGGGGTTCGTCTCTCTCCCGAGTCTCGGTTCTCTCGGGCGAGAGTCAAAAGTGTGGTGATGCGTCGAGTGCAGTTTGAATGCTGTCTTTGACTTTCCTTGCTCGCCATTTAGTATGTAAGCAATTATCTCATCATTCAGTGATGATGACAACGATCATGGAGTCTTAATATTGTCGATCACCTTGCCACTAAACCGGTTGGTAGCACTCATCACAGTCCTGCGTGAATATACGACACAGTAGGTCCGCAAGTAATCATGATGCTATTGATAATACCAAAAAAAAAAATAAGTGGATAACACCACGGAGATAACCCAGCGTACGGAGGGCTCCGTCTGCCAATGCCGAACTATTCTCAGGTTTGTTCGGATCGGCACCGCGTGGGGGCTGGGCCTGCCAACCCGTGATCACGGGGGAAGGTTAATAATAACTTAATAGGGAACGCGATTAGATTTCCGCGGCCGCACCTACTGCATGGCCGATGGACTGGGGAACAAAGTACCCCCCCACATTGTCTCGGGTCATATATTAAAAGAACGTTTGCTTCGTGTCATATGATGCTCGAGTTAAAACACATGATAATAGTTAATGTCTTGCTGACACAGATATAGTCGTCTCTAAATGTTCCATTATGCCACATACTGATACCGGTTTCCTTCTTCTCGCTCCATGTAGTCCTTTTCAATCAGCCTGTAGAGCAGTCATAGTCAGTGACCAGGTTCTCAATAAACAATACCATAATTTCTCGGAGCCACTCACTTCTCAATGTTCTTCTTGATATCCGCGGGTTCGAGCACTCCTCGGCTGCGCGTCGCCTTGATCACCTCCGCTACCAGTTCGGGGTGTGTGATGGTCTTCCGACTCTTCATAATCCGCACAATAGCTGCCTGGGTCTCATAATGCCGATCGGCTGCCACCCGCTCGTGGGTCGTCTTGTTCTCCTCCTTTGTCTCCTTCAGCTGGATCTGATTGATCTTGATCCGCATTTTCACGTCGGAGAATCCCCCATTGTACGAGAACTCGTCCGTTGTGTTGACTTCTCGGCCCTTCGGCTTCTTAACAAGCACTCGATATTTGGCGCATGCGAGCGATTGGAGAGTCCGTTTCAGCTCCTGATCAGCTATGCCACGTCAGTTAGCAGTAGCCCAGAGAGTATGAGTATTTGGAGATTTGAGAGTATGGGGTACTAACACAACTTCGTCGCCTCCTGGATCTGTAGATAGCTCAGAGTATCCTTCTCGGACACGTCGTTAAATAGCAGAAGCACGATGGCCTGGAATGAACTGACTACCAGTTCCTTATCACCTTTGGGAAATCTTGCGCGCAGCTGGCAGTGCGCGAGTTGGTGTTTCCAATTAAGTTTGCGCCCGTTGTATTTACTATAGTAAAACTTTTCGAACTCGCTGACAGCTGTCGCGATTTCGGGCGGTATTCGCACCTGAACATCGGGATAGGACGGCCAGGCAGATGCAGAGAGCACACTAACATTCAAATCTACCGGCAATCGGTGCTTGCGCTCACGCTGAATAGAATTATACGCCGCCATTTCATCCCGCGCCACGTCCATGTCTTTGAACATAGATTCCAGGTTGTGCGTGAAGCTGGAACCGCATTCTAACCAATCGCCAATGTTAGCCTCCATGCACACATATCAATTTATGTCGCTCGGAATCAGAACCAACCTGTCTTGAGCCTGGCCAGCATGCTCTTCTCTGCATCATCACTGGCACTTCGGCCCATCAATAACCGACGAGCAAGGTCGTTCTTGTAAAATGCCTCAAATACAGCTTTGCCATGTACAAATCGGAAGAGGTCTAACACTTGATCTAACTGTCGATTGATTTCGGCATCCTCATCGGCAAGAGGTACATCCTCGACTTTTCGTCCAGGAGGTAATTTCCACCCGCCTTTGAGTAATCTATCCACATATTTGGCAATCATCTCTCCGGTCTTGGGGTTATCTGTGCCTCCGGATGCGCCCGATTTTCGGCCCTTGTTCATGAACGTCTCAAAGGCCTCCCGCAAGGAATGTCCCAGTTCCTCATGCCGATGGAAGGAGTTGATCCAAGTTTCGTCAAGCTGCTGTTTGAAATCCAGTAGCCGGGCCACCATTTCCGCCTCTTTTTCATCGTCAAAGATAATTCCAGTCCCTTCTTCAACGATGTAACTGCTGAATGCCGTTTTCAATTTCGCCCCCAAATCCCTTCGTTGAAGAAGAGTATAGAGCTTTTCCAAGGCAGTCTTATTGCCGGCCCGCAGCAGACCAAGAATGTCATTTTGGTTGAGGAGAACATCCTCTTGCTCTGCCACTAACTCCTGATCCAAAAGTTCAGACAACTTCTGTTTCGTGCTCCGATTTAAAGAGAACAATGTGCACCTGTCTACTTCTTGTTCAATTAAGCGGTGGCTGTTTTCCGCAAAGGTGGCGAGATATCCCGAGGCTTCATGCTGAGCCCATGATGCGAAGAATTTCTTCGATTCGGAGACAAGGAGAGGTTCAAAACCAGTAGTATAAACATCAAGGCCATGGAAAAATTCAATAGCGTTCCGAAGCAAAGATGAGTCGGCTGACATACCGCGCCCTTCGTCACGGTCCGCTTCAACCAGGTCGCAGGCGCCTTGTAAAACTTGTGGCTGTAACACTGGATCATTGAATATGTGTTGCCGGAACTGAATCAAGCCCATCTCGCGGATAACTGGGTATTCCTTGGAATGGAGGAGGAACGATTGGTCGAGATAGTAGAAAATCCAGCGTACTGTAACCTGCAAACGAGTCAATTCAAGATTGTAGATGAGCGGAAGAAGAACGGAAACATACCAGCTTTGATTGCCATGTCGTCCACGAATCTACAACGGCTCGTAGCGTATCGATGTTGTTCCCCCCTGCTGCTCTGGCTACCAGCGTATCACGCAGTTTACCGGATACATGTCCTCGGCACCGCTCTTGCAGTTGTCTGGCCAGCGCCGAAGCTCTCCCTTGACGGCATACATTCTCAGCCCCTTTGTACAGCTCTTCTAGCGAGACCTCGGGTTTTCCGCCATCGAAAATCGCTGTCAGCGCGGCGTCAAGCTGGCCCCATATCTTCTCGAAGTATGAATCTTGATTCAATCGAGAGCCCACTCGAAGATTTTTGACAACGAGCTTCTTGGCGCCGGTGTGAGGAGTAAAGTTGCTTTGGCGCACTGGTGCGTTGAAGGAGCGGGGTTTTGCTGCTACATTTCCGGAGTTGGTGCCCGGTGTAACTTGACCAAAAAATCCACTGCCTTTCGTTTCCTGATTTGAAAAATTGTACATGATGTTGGATGAAGCTGATCCCCGCGGACCTTGTGCAGCAGTTAGACCCGAGGGGGATGGCGATAGCCGGGGCCGCTTGCTCGTCGGGGAGGATAGCTGGTGATGGTGATGCTCTTTGCCGTGGGTTGTGTGATTCCGCGAAAGGAGCTCTGAAATCGTCGCCTGTTGGTGCTGAGGTTGGTGCAGTACTTCCTCTTGCTCAGAAAGCTTCCTCTTGCCGATCGATTTGCGCTTACCGCTCCTCTGCTCGGTGGCGCCTCTCGAGGGTTGCGGCATCTACCCGGTCTTGTCCGAGATGACGATGTTGAAGAGGAGCGCTCAGCGTTGCAAAGGTCCAGAAGATATCTGGACTATACAATTCATGGCAAATCCACCTAAGCTTTCTCGAATTTGAAATGAGCGATGCGGTACTGGTGGTGGAAGGGAGGGGAGATGGAGGGGGCAGCTGGCAGAGAGGAGGGCTGAAGCAGAGATGCTCCGCGGTAAGGTTCCGTTGACGTTGAAGTCGGAGATAAGATAATACGTCCGTACTGTACATACTTGTATGTTTGACCTTGCGGGGAATAAATATACTATCTCACCGGACAACAATTTTACACGTTTACGTTCATAGCTGACAGCGAAGAATGGAAGCTATGTCCGAATGGGATTATTTACGTCCAATTTTTTTTATAAAAAAAAAATTGGAAAAAGGAATTCCCCCTTTGAGATATGCCAAGGTTGTACATTAAGACAGCAGGCACAATATAGCAATCATTTCCATATACACCATTTCGTTACATCAATAAATCCAGTTACACCCCCCCCAAAAGTGCCTGGACGCTTTGCTAATCGTCCCTATTCACGAGAATAACTGCGGTCGAGTGAGCTCTCTCACTTCATTATCCTCAAACTGCCGAATGTTAGATGATTCATCGAAGCAAACCATGTATGAAGGTGCGTACCTCTAAGAAATCCGTCGCAGCAACTAGTGCCATATATGATTTGGTTAGGTTGGTCAGGGCGCCATGGTGATCGGCAGCACCCCCTCCACCGATCTTGGCAAAGCGTTTGAATATGCCGACCATACTTTGCCTATTCTCAGCAAGGAACGCACGAGTCTGTTCCATCATCTGCTCGTTGTGAAGGCCCCGGGAAAACGCAGCGGAAACAATAACACGTAAGACAGAATCCAGTAGATCGTAATACCTCCGGAGGGCATCAGGGTTATCAATATCTACTACAGTTAGACAGTTTAACTATATCAAGGGACGGCTTGTTACTGACCGATGCCAAGATCTGGGTCGGCAGCGAATAGCTGCGAACCACGTACTGCTTCGAAAAGACCGGTCGTCAAGACGTGGGTTGCGCCGGCCTTCGTTTGGCAGAGTTGCTGAAGTAAAGACAGCAGAGATTCATAATAGGATAAGAGTAAAGGTGTATCTGAGTTAGACCTGATTAGCTGTAGATATGGCCAGTAGACTCCATGACTACATACCATTTGCCTGGGCATTTTTTAGTTCAGTGGGCAACGTCCTAATGGCATCGAGGAAGAGACTTAGATAATTTGACTGAGAGATTGACTCGGCCAATACAGAATCTCCCTGTTTATCGAGAGCTGCAAGGAGATTGAGGAACAATAGAGCAGACACGCGACATGTCTCCTGGCCAGCATATGCATCATCGCATATCGCTTCAATCAGTGTGGTGCCAGCCATCTTGACAACCTGGTGGCTATGTTGTTTGATGCTCTCGTGTCCTGTATCGGGTTGGATGATACGGGCGATGTAGGATGAGCAAATGTTATAGAAAGTTTCTCGGAGATTAACATTTCCTGTCGCCAGAGCGATACCTCTAACACAGATCTGGAAGAGTTGATGGAGCTTCTCATCAATGACATCTCCACTTCTCCGGGCAGAATTGGCTTTTGCTGGGCTTGATTCCAGTTTGGTAACTAAAACTTCAGCTAAGCGTGCTAGCTCGGTCGCCTCTGGGAGATCCTCTTCAACAGCGGCTTCAAGCTTGGGAAGAATCAACTGAATAGTATGTAGTATGAATGTCGATTTTCGTCCGCCTTCAATTTCGGAGCAAGTGAGCATGGTCGTAATGAGTTCTGTCCAGGATCGGAGAGCCAGATAACGATTGTTATTGATCTTTCTTGACTGGTTTGTCGCATGGACGAACATCTTCAAACCTTCGGCTTCTGCAAGAAATTGTTCCTCGTCTTGTGGGCGTAAATGCCCGCTGGAAAGCAATTCCTCTTTCCTGAGTTGTATCAGCTCCTCCAGCTCTGCCTCACTGTAAAGGATGAGTGAACCATCCGCTTCTTTTGCGCACGCATCCAGCATAATACCATCTAGGAGGACTAGCATGGGGGGCTGGAGTTGACGTCCAATGTCCAGATCCGCGAAATCGAAAAGGTCAAACACCGTAGGATTCAATACCGCATCCCCTGTCTCTGAGGTCGAATTCCCAAACAACGTCGACATGATATCTGCTTGCAGCGTTGGTGAACGGAGCTTAGCAGCCGAACGAACCTCCGTAGTAGCATAAGCATACAAATAACTTCTGTATAACAGAAATTCTGCGAGAGCACTAGCAGAATCCGAAACCCAAAATTCTTCTGTCATAATCGGGAACCCATCCCAAGGCGTGTTTGGTCCAATGATGGGTTGGCTTGCGAGCAGACTTTGCAGAAAACGGTTCGCACGCATCTCAGTAAGGGTGAAGTAGGAGGAGATTTTGGATGACCATAAGTGCTTTAACACCTCCAAGGCCATACGCTTCAGGTGCACCATCCATGACAGGATATTTCCATCAACTTGATCTGGGTAGCTTTGCAAGAATGTGATGATCGCATGTAGCAAGGACATTCCGTTGGCGAGAAGTCCGTCAGAGGAGATGTCGAGCATAGTTCCCACACTGCTAAATCCAAGAAGCAGATGAGCTATCGTTGGCCGATCCGTGATCATTCTAAGGCAGCTGTTCAGCAGCGCCAATAAACTTTCTCTAATGATATAACCAGAAGACTGCGACCCATGATCAAGTTCCCGTAGTTCAGGCTGCATTTGAGATACAAGCGGGCGTGCCACGCTGTCCACCTCTACTTCCGTGCTGAGGACCTCGACGATTTTATTCGAGGACCGCCACTTGGACAACCCAGGTGATGAAACCTTGTTGAGCTTTCTGGAGCTAGAGAGTTTCTCCAGTAGCACCATTGATGTGATTGTGAGTTGTTGATGCGCCGTGCTGCAATAAAGACACAAAGCTGGCACAATTGACAAATTGTTTAGGACGCTATCTTCAAAGGCAGAGAGCGATGAGTTCGCTACGTTGGTTCGGCTTCCACCACTTTGAGACTTGATCAAAGGGCGAACAATGTTGAAATATGTCGACTGAAGGTCCATGATCAGGTCCATGACCTCAAGGCTTCTGACTACAGAAAGGACCAATATAGAGTCGGATGCCGCCTTGGAAACCTCGGCTATATCTTGGTGAGCTGTCGCGAAGATTGTCTTGATTACATCTTCGTTGAACAACCATTCAGCTACCCGCGCAAAGGGGTGTAGACGGACATAAGTAACCAATGACGAGGTTTTAGCATCGGATGGCACAGTGGGCTGGCTCAGAACAGAGACAAGACTCTCATTGAAGGACTTCAAGCATGTCACGACAAATTCCAGGCAATTGTACGTTAGCATCCGAGATTGGCGTTCGTTGAGATCTGGCACTTTCCGTGACAAGGCATGGCCCAGTATAAAGTCTATGTAAGGCTCGATACCTGGCATGCGATAGGACGAACCCAAAGATTCAGGAAATGGCAGCGAGAGGTGGTAGTCAGCTGAATCAGATGTTGGAGACACAAGGGAATTGATCAAGGTCACAAAAGCATTGGCTTGGTCGAAGCTCTCGCCAAATTTTTGAAACGCTTGTTGCTCATGCCAAATAAGAGGGTTTGAGACTACTGGGATCTTGCCCATTCCAGAAGCACTCATAGATCCACCTGAAATCCACTGGTCAATAGAAAGCCACATTTCGTTTCCATTGATAGGTGTTCTTTCAGTCATCAAAGCTGCAAGGGTGGTGAAAACTGTGGCTCTCAAGTGCGTGGGTATCGGCCCGCTGCACAATGTCAACAATGTGCTGACAACGTTGAACGAGGGATGATGAAGCATCCAGTCCCGTATCGCGACACTTTGTCTACATAGATGTCCCATCAACCGGAGGTAACAGGTCAGCATGACAGGACTTTCTGGCTCACTCATATCTGCTGGTTCAGACTTCCGGGATCGTAGGATCGTTTGAGATGTCGAGGCAGGAGGCTTCTCGGTCACTTTTGTAGCATAAAGTTCCAGCTCAGCGAACATCTGGGACCAATTCATGGAAGTCGACCGCTTGAATTTAGCAGACATGAACTTGTCCTCTTCAGTGAGAAATCTATGAGCTGCAGTGGCATTATCTTCGCTTCCCGAAATAGAGCATAGTAATTCACAGAATGCGCTAACTCTAGGGACAGTTTGCCTCTTCGAGGCCCATTGAAGGAAGCCATACAGATTTCCGTCAGGATCGGCCCAGAACTCCTGTGCAGCGTCCGGTCGCTGCTCAAATGCAAAAGCCATTATCATGAGGAAAGATTCAAGGTGCGTCCGAGCTTCCACTAAACCTCGATGGAGACTAGAAGTTAGGCCATCTCTTAGCGCTGTAATTTGATCCAATCTTTGCGAATCTTCTTCTGATTTCAACATCCGAACAGCATCCGGCATATTAGCGATGCATGACTCCACAAAGACCTCGAAGTTGTCCATCAGTAAGCATTTCATGTATGTAGCGCAGGTGTCAGATTCGGGCATAGCTGAGGAGCTTTCCTTCAATAGCAATGAAACTAATTCACTCCGAGCTGGATCTGCCCATTCTTCATTGTTCACTCCAGAACAGACGGCCAGCATAAAGTCCAGCCCTCCATCATCTAGCGCTGTCATGAACATCTTTGTACGCTCCTCAGCGTCCTTCTCGAGATCGACCCCGGGGAGGGGGGACGACGGTCCATCAAAATCCCATCCACCATATACTGCAAGCCAGAGAGAAATTACTGCAGAATGGAAAGTAGGGAGGGCCCAGGATTGGCCATCTTTGGTTGACGTAACGGCTGTGTGCAAGCTTCGAGCCTCTTTGTATGAATTGGAACTTTCCGGAGAACCATGTTGAACGAAAGCAGCAATTATAGAAGGGATATAATGCACCAGTAGCCCATCAAACCGGTCCAATTTCCGAAGGTTCCCAAGCAGCAGCCGAAGATCCTCGGGGCTAGTATAAGGGCCTTTAAAAAGGTAGCAAAGTATAGCACCCAACGATTCATGCTGTTGTTGCAAGCTGGCGCGCTGATACTCTATGGCCTCCATTATATCGGCATCTTCCGCTTGACCAACAATGGATGCCTTCTGAATCTGTTCAGCAACAAGTACAAGCCACTTCTCAATATCTTCCATCGATTTCATGCATTTTCGTGCAAACAGTGACGCGTTTCGTAGAGGGCCATTCTTTATCTCGACAACGAAAGCTATCATGTCCTGCATTAGAGCCTGGGTCATTTCCCGTTCGACCTCGAAGGATTCTTGGAGGATAAGACGCAGGGATTCGAGGAGGAAGTGCCGACGCTCGTGAAACCGCATGATCGCAGCGATAAGAGGAGTTCTATCCAGCATCTGAGCATGGTCCTGGGCGCCAAGAAACAGGTGTGCTGCCTCCAGTTCATCGATACCCAGCGCATCGGCCAGCTGTAACGCGCCTTGTTGGAACTCCTCGTTGATGGAATATTCAAGGTCATCGACGGTGATCTTCCCTAAGTGGATTCGGAGTAACGTAAACATGGTTCCAACCTAAGATTATATTTCCCATTGCGCATAGAAGATAAATGCTTACCTGAAAGAACAGCCTGGCGACTGGAATTGTTCTTTGGTGGCCTGTCAAGGAGCTTCCTGAAATCATCGATGTGAGCCTCCAACTCATCACGGAGACGGTCGATGTTCACAAAGGAGGACTCAGTAAGGGATGAGAGATCTTGATACAAGCCACGAAGGCCCGCTAGAGTGTCTCTGTCCCCCATGATCAGAGATTTTCCCTAGCTCGGCAAGAAGCGCTGTGGAGGTGGAAATGAAGTATAAACTGTTTGTTGCGGGCCAAAAAAGGTCGGAGGTCGCGATCAAAATTCCGACCCGAAAAAGTAAAAGCGGCGGAGCTTCTGTTTGCGCCAAGACCAAAGCTCCTTTGAGTCTCCTAACAGCCGCACCGGAGCTTCCAGGCAATTTCCCCATAACGCCCCCGTTTCATGCGGGTTTAAGGGCTTAGCCATGTTTTTTTGTTGCATAATGGAGTTCTCAAAAGTTTAGGAAATGTCGCATGTGAACATGGTTATCAAACGCTCGACCTTATTAGTGTTAAATGTGTATAAGTACTACTCCGCATTATCAGCACCATCGCAATGGCGGAAATCACTCTGGATAGGACTCTGGTGCTTCTGTCATCCGAGAAGCAAAAAGAGCGTTCCGATGGTCTAGCTGGTGGGTTATACTTGGAGGATCTATCATACCCTTCTAACATCTGCAAGATTTGAAGCATATACTCCAACAAAATAAACGAAACTCAAAACTGTATGTGGAAAATCAATATCACTCTAGAGATTGATGGTGGTCCTTGTTGTTGACCCGTACATATCATCTAGGAGTTCCCTGAATGACAAAGCTTGTCATAAAATTTTTGAGTCACTGTTCCGATTCATCTCGTCAGAGAAATCTCTGTATAAACAAGCGAAATCTAAGGCTGCTCCTCGCTTATCAAGATGTGCAACTGTTCTGCGATTAACTGTTGACGCCCTTCTGCATAACTTGCGAGCCAAGTCTGTTCGTGCAGTTGTTGACCATATAACCGAAACTTTGCAGGACCCAGGAGGTAGTCTGTTTGAGCTTCTTGGTGTGGATTATACAAAATGCTTGGCTGCATTGCTAAATTATCCTCCACATGTTGAACATCTGGGGGCCAGTGAATGGCAGAAGCTTATGGATTTCTGTCTAAAGATCTTGAAGACCCAAGATTATGAAGATGCCCGTTCGCATACAGGGAGCGACTCTCGGTCCACTTTGGATGAATTCCTGGGGGCTGGAGGTACTCCCACACCGTCCATATCGACGCCAACACTAACTGTGAGAGAGAAATCCAAAGGCGATAAGAGTGCAATCAGCGAGGCCGTAGTCTGTATTCAGCTGCTAACGGCATGCGTTAATGCTCCAGTTCAAGAGCCCGCCGCAAAGATACTTCATGGGCTAGTGGGTTACGTCAAGTCGTCGCATATCGCGGGAAGTGGACACCAAAGCGCATTCAATAGCATTAATTCGGTCATCATGAGGGTGTTGTCTGACCAGTCAGAGCTTGTTCAGAGCATACTGCTGGACTTAATACCCGTAATTTGTCACCTGTGGGCTACCAAACTCGTAGGGTTGAAAGATGAACTGCTTGTCACCATCATGCTCTGCATTGTCCTCTTGACCGCAGCGACTCGACAGGAGCCATCGGAATTGTTGAACCGCTCTATTGAAAACCTCTTGGATTCCCTGTACACAGAGTATATCAAGCGTCCTGAAAAGGATATCCTACAGGTTGATGAGTTGGTTTTCCATCAGAAAACTTCGGCGGCGGTGGATAAGATCTTGATATGGCCCCGTCTTGAATCTGGCAGATCAGAGCATAATTGGACCGTGATCTGGGCTATAGCTAACCTTGTGGATTTATCAGAAGAGATAACTGCGCGATTGTCGTCGTCGCGTACGTCAAGTGAGACGCTGAACAAAAGGCAGCGTCTCACATCGATGGTAGATGAAATTCACCGTGATTGCGCTTCATCCTCAGGTGCCAGAAGAATCTGCGCTCTGCAATTGATTCCGCTTCTCCCCAGGCATCATGCTAGTGACGATTCAAAGTCGTCGCTACTCCTCCGGTTAATACCAAACATACTCGACGATAATGGCATATTAGCGTCCTGGACAATGATCACTATTTCAAGGTAAAGTTCACTCAGCAATCTTTTTCATGCCGCACTGACCAGGCTTACTATAGCATTGCTGGGAGTCCTAATGCAGACTCGCCCTCATTAAGGGCAATTTGGCAACAGGCTTGGGAGCTCACATGCCGTGCCTCAACTTCCCAGGCTACTTCTAGGGCATCTTGTATTCTCCTGAGTAGCATTCTTGAATTCAACCTTTTGGAGTATTCGATAGTCGCGGAGGCCACGAACTCGATGCTCACATCTGTCAATCTAAACGGCCCATCTACCGTGTCCGATGCATCGTTGGCTTTATGGGCCACCACGACTCGAATGACTGCGCAGATAAATCCAGGATCCCTTCCAAATGCCTCAAAGCAGATATGCGCCTGGCTTCGAGAGGTTTGGGTTATTGGTGTGTTACTATAGCGGCTTCCACGATATGGTAGTGATATTTCATGCTAATAATGCCCCAGGAACAGCAACTGATCGAACACAGCTAGCTCAACTTGCTGCATTTGCCCGGCCCTTGGACCTTTTAAACCTGCTTTTAGCCTGCACTAATCGGCATTATATCCCACCCAAACCTCAGTTCAGGGGAGCAACCAGTCTCATTGGCAAAGGCTGGTATTTTCTTCACAGGAGCAAACAGCTGCTAAATTACCTATTTCAACTCAAAGGTACATTAGATTTTGATATGTGGGATACTGATGATACTATCAATTTGGAGATATCTTCACGACAAGATCCAAATGACAACATGGTTCTGGATCTCTTGCAGGCAAAATCTGAAATGTTCTTGCAAGCCTTTCAATCATTATATGAGGATAAATCACATCATATAACGGTGGACATCGTGCAGATTGTTGCGTCTTTCTGTATTCTCGTTGCTCTTTACACGGAATGTCTGCCACGCCAATCTGCATCAAAACTCCAAAACCTACAGCAGAATAGCGAGTGCCTATGGGAGATTATATGCACCTTCCTGGCCTCTCACGAACTTGAATTTGTTCAAGGTTGTCTAGTAGTATTGTCGCCTTTCCTTAATTCTGAACAGTTCTCATTCAATCCTGAATCAGCCGTCTCGAAGGCTCTCCTCAGGCTTGTACTTCCATTAGGGAGCCTTTTAGAAGCCTATAGAAGATGTCAGAGAGAGAATTTGGCTCCCCACAATGGAGAGCCTATGGATTTGGACGATACTCTGTTCAATTCAAAAGATCGGCTGGCGGAGGTCACCTCAATCATCAAGTCCAAGAGAGAAGCGCTACCCTTATTCCAGGAGTTTTCCTCCTTCCAGCGGTGTATTACCATTCAGCTTTCTGTTTCACAGAAAACCCACGCATTTTTGGCCAGCCGTGATCAACCTTCCAGTAGGGCTCTGGTTGAGTACTTGATCGATTTAGACGAAGTCGATATCTTAGCCGCGGGGAGCTTTTTGCCCCATGTCTACCGTGCAATTTCTGAAATGGACCGGACTTCGTTGCTCGACATCCTTGAAGACCTGGCTGAAAAATGCCTACGGACTTATGAATTGGAGCGCTGTGAAGCCTCTCACTCCCTTTGTATTCATATGATGCATAGCTTTGTCAAAGCATGGGTCAACTCGGAAGACGATAATCTCAGTGATTCGGCATCAGATATCTATACTTGGCTCAGAGACGTTTTATTGGCAAAAGACATGGCATCGCCTTCAGTTCTCGTTGCGTTCAGTGAGCTCCTCGTGGGTGTCATTAATACCAACGCCTCATACTCTAGCGGTGAATCAAGCATATCTCCACGAACAAGCCTTCTGCAGATTTTGGAGAAAGGCAGCATACCAGTTAAATTTGATATTGGGAATCTGATTCCCCGGCTATTTGGCCATTATTCACTAAACGATCATGATGCCATATTCAATGACGTGCTGAGACACCTTCCCAAAGAGTCTGATTGGGTAGAAGGCATCGCGCTTCGGTTGTTTATATTAGGTCAATTAGCTTCACGTTGGCATACCTTACTCCGCAAAAGTATTTACCACATGTTCGAGACCCCAGCACATGTACCTCATTCACTTCAGTATGCTGAGAAGTGCATATGTGGTGTCGCCAATACGCTTGGGCTCAAAGATGCGAAAGCGCTCTTTCGGCTATTTTCTTCTCAGATCCTCTATACCTGGACTGAGCAGGAATCGATTACAGCCATGCCTTTCAGTATATTTGGATATGCAAGTATCAAAGACATGTTAGGCGATGTTCAAGACGAACTTGTCGGTCAAATTATCATGCGTGCGCGGGAGGATGAGGAGATGGAAATGTCGAAGCACATGGGAAAGCCTTTCGTTGAACTTTTAGCCACATCTTTTTACAAGGCGGAGGCCTATAGCATCGCTCGAGATATCAGTACTCCTCCTGGGCAAGGTAGCCAGCCTAAAGGAGTTGAAACACGGCTAAGAAAGATGGTAGGGGCTGAACGTTTCATGGATTTGATTGATCAGCAATTTCCACAGACAATAGCAGCCTTCTTCGTGTCCCTTGACCAATATGAACAGGTCGAAAGAGCCCTCTCAAAACGTGCAAAATTCCAGGATGCTCTCGATTGTCTAAGGTGCATCCTCGGTAAAAGTGCTTCGAAAATCGTTCTCCCTGCAAATCAGCAACCCTCGTTCAGGGCTCGCTATCTCATTGATGAGTTAGAATTCCTCTGTAAGCGCAGCGGATATGAACTCGAGACGATCTGGACGCCTACGCTAGCTTCTTATGTTTGCCGAACCCTCTTGGAATCAATTCACCCGGCACTTGGTTCTTTCCACGCCTGTTCTGTAATCCGGAAGATCAGGGTACTACTTTGCGTGGCTGGATCTGTTATGCTCAGAGACTATCCATTCGAGATGGCCCTCCACGCCATGCTACCGTTCCTGGTAGATGTATATTGCTCAGAAGATGCATTAGGAATCTTCTGGTATCTTCTGGAAGCTGGTCAGCCTTATCTGACAGAGACTCCCGGACTCATGGCTGGAGTCACGGTCTCCACATTGCTGTCCTTGAAAAGGTTTTTGGCATCTCCCCCAGCCGATATAGCTCAACAGAGCCAGTCAAAAACAGTAATAGCGAACATTGAAAGGTTTCTTCAGTGGCTTGG